GTGGAATTCTTGTGTCCGCTCTGTTTTAGGGTATAACAATTGTTAGGTCTAGGCAATGGCCGTCTGGGGTTTGTCGTGCGAGAGGTGGGGACACTGTGTTCTGGCAATGGTTTGGGGTTCGGATTGAGGCCCGGACTGGGGGATAGGGCAACGTAACGACCATCATTTGTTGCAAAATGATGTATAATTTAATACCCGCAAAGCCAACTCCCAACTCCCAAATGGCAGTGGCAGTGGCGGTGGCTCCTCCACTCCTTCATTCTTGTTGTGTGTGTGTGTGTGTGTGACCTCCAAAACAAAACCAAAGCCAGGCGAAGTCAACATTGTACTTCACTTCACTCCCATTCCATCTTGTTCTGGTCCTGCTGCTGCTGCTTCTCTTCGCCTTCTCTTTTTTCTCTGGGCTCATCCACATCCGGGACCGGGACCCGGCCACGGACCACTAACGCGTCCCCAATGGGCAGCCAACAAAAACCGAGCACATGTGTATATAAAAAATCCAACAAAACCCCCAGCCGCCCCAGCCATCCACCACCCACCAAAACGCAACAAGAGATGGGAGCTCTGAGTACTCGTGCATTTAGTAGGAAGCCGGCACCGCTTTTTGTTTGCCTGTCGCTGGAGGGGGGGTTGGCACCAGGCTGGAGCAGAGTCAGTGGCAGCGGCAGCGGCAATGGCCAAAGGAGAGTGTTCGTGGTATGGGAAGGGGGGGATATCGGGTGTGGTGGGGCTGCAGGGGCTTAGCCCGGCGGTTGTTTAACTCGAGTGCTGCACATAATTCATGTGTCCACTTGCAATTTTTCGTTTGGTGCGACATTGTTATGCTGGCCATGTTGTAAAAACACCAAAAACAAAAGACCCAAAAAGAGTCGAAAAAGAGTCAAAAAAGAGTCGAAAAAGAGTCGAAAGAAGAGGAGCAGAGAAAAGCAAAGCAGAACCGGGCAGAACGGAACGGAACGGAACAGAACATCCAGCATTGGGAAACGTGTGCGAGCGACTTTATATGCCATTATTAGTGTGTTAGAGAGAGTGACTGACTCAGGGACTCCACTCCTCGCTGGATGAGTGGAGTGGGAGAGCGTGGCATGAGTAGTGTACAGTACGTACGCGTACGCGTATGTGTACGTGTCACACACACACCCACAAACACACAAAATAGATTACTCAGTGTCGCGGCACTCTATCACGGAGAGATCGAGCCGGGAGTCGGGAGCCGGGAGCCAGGAGCCAGGAGCTGGCTGCTGCGAAAGGTGTCGCAATCCTGACAGCGCTGGCCTGACGGGAATGCTAAGTGAATCAATTTTTTGGAACGCAGACTGCCACTTGTAGTGGAGAGCATCGTCCCAAGGCGGAGCAAATAATAAAGTATTAAATAAAATAAAATAAAAATAAAATTAAATAATCATGTGTAAGGGCAAGGAAACATTTTTTTTAAATTTATTAAGCATTAAATAAAATAAAACTAAAATTAAATTAAATAAAATAATCATGTCTAAGCAAGGAAACATTTTGTTTTTATTTATTAAGCAATAAATAAAATAAAATGAAAATTAATTGAAATTAAATAATCCTGTCTAAGGGAAGAACACATATTGTTTTTATTTATTTTATTATTTTTTCGTATTTACCTGGATCTTAGCAACGATCCTCAGACGTTTAGTTGTTAGAATTTAAATTTAATTTGATTGACCAATTTAACACATCAAAGCCAATAAAATAAGTAAACAAAATTAAATAAATATTATTAATGTGGGAGCTTGCGGTTCAGTGTTCATTAATTTGCACTGGTCGCATTTCTGGGTCGCCTTTTAATCGATAAAATATATCGCAAGATATATTGCAGATGCTACGTACATACGCACAAGCAGGTGTCCGAGCTACAGCTCTTTTATATATTCAAGTACTGCCCAGAGCTGTTCGAGTCCCTGCGCTAGGGGCCCAATAGCCCGGAGAAGCCCATGCGTCTCCAGCTCTTGGGCCAAATATATCCGGAGCTTTCTCCGGTGGAGATCGCTGAAATGGATCAACAGTTTTGCGAAGATCACTCGCGTCACATTAACGACTTTTTCGGTGGAGTTGTGCCGGACACTCTGATTGTCATGCACATCCGGGGTGGGATGGTGTGGCGCCAGCCCGAGCCCCCCAACCCTCCTCCTAACCTATAAAACAATCCAGCAAAATATCTAAAATTCCACCACTGCAAATGCACTCTGCTTCCAAAAGGAGGCCACTAAAAAGTCATTCAACTGCGCGCCGAACCAATTCAAGCAATGCTAAAATACTTTTGCTCCACTGCTGCGATTTGGAAATATGTAAATAAATGTACCCTCCATTTAGAGTTATTACCCCTTTCACACTGCTGTTCACGCATCAAACTACAATATATGGCAAACTAATGAAGTCGCAGCTCGCCGCTCTCAGGCGCTCAGGCTCAGGCCCCCCTGAGGCCTGCCTTCAATGATGGCCCAACTGGGGTTGATGTCGAGTCTACATGTGGGCGCGACGCCCATCAAGCATACAAGTGACAGTAAAATGCATTTTCACATATGTCAGCAATCGCTGGATGCCACTGGGGCGCCGGGGCCCCCACTTGCCCGCACTTTCTATCAGCGCCCACCGCCCTTAGCAGCATAATTTATGGCCTGGACATTTATGGCTTTATGGCCGGCGTTTGTCAAACCTGCTGAACTCTAGCGTTTTCAATTTTTTAAAGATCCAATTTTGCAGTGCGAACGGAGGAGACGAGACCCAGCGCCGTGTGGTTTAAGCTGCTCGGCCTGGAAGGAAGGAATGGAAAATGGCAAATGGCAAATGGAAAATGGAACTTGGCTGATTAGCCCCAGGGCTGTGGATCATTAGTAACTGCTAGGACGAGCCCTGTCGCTTGCTTATCTTTCACTTTGCTGGCAATTATCTAGTCAATCAATTGATAAATGGAACTCTTTGCCAAGTCCCCTGTCCACCGGCCACCGTCCACCGTCCACCATCGTCTGTCCCTTGACACAGCAACTCCCTTGACTCCACAGAGAGCAACAGTGACTGACTGAACGGATGAATCGCACACGCAAAGCCCAAGAAGACAAGGCCAAACTCGAAGGAAGGAAAGAAATAAAGAAGGAAAAAAGTCTCTGCTTGGGGATGGGACTTTGCTCAGTCGTCACTTGACAACGACATTAGGCGACACCCTTCAATGGTTTTGAAGACGGTTCCTTTCGACCTGGACCCAGACCCAGGGTCTGGGTCACCCTTTTTATGTGCCAAATTATCCTTTCAGCTTGTTGGGCCCCAGATTTCTGTTCAGTTGCCTCATTTGCTTGATTAATTGTCGCGATATCTGTATGCCATGAGTGCGGGATGGGCTGGGATGGGCTGGGCAGCCATTGGCATTCCCATTCCGCCCAGCTTTTCCCCACTCGTGTTCATAGGATTTTGCAAATTAATGTTGACAGTCGTAATAAATTTCCACAGCATTTGAAATTGAACATTTGCATTAAATGTGATGTCACTCGATGCTTGTCAAACGTATGCGAAAATTGAAAATTTTCCGCAACGCGGCTGTATCTGCCTGTGTGTGTGTGTGTGTGTGTGTGTGTGTGCCAGAGCCCAGACCCCCCAGACCCTTTCCTACCCTACCCTTTCCACGAAGCTCCTGCTGTCAATGTATTGGCTGCTGCCCGTAAAGGCGCATCGAACTGGAAAATTATTTGGTCATTATGTCAATTTGGGGGAAAACGAAGTGGACGGGTGAGTGAAATTGGTTGCCACCCGTCGAACCAAACGCAACGCAAGTCGACAGAAACAAAGCGGCAGGCGCAGGCATTGAATCGAGAAAAACAGAAACAAGCGCAAAGAAAATAAATAAATAAATAAAAGTGACCGCCAATGCATTATAAAATTAATTAAATTTACAATTTCTGCCCCTCCCCCAACTCCAACCACCCACTGAACAGAGGTTTAAGGGATATGGCAGGTACATAATTTAGTTCTAGGAGCAGCTTCCCTTCTGCACCCCGCATTGACGACGTTTCCGACGTGCCACCATCGGACTCGGCAGCTGGCATCACATCCTCTTCATTTGCGTACATCTTGTGGGCATGCCATGCCGCCTGGTTGCAGTGTCCTGAGCTTAAAAAAAAATAAAACAAACATTTCAATTTTCCACATGGGAAATGTCGCCCGGCGAACCAATTTATGATATCCGCAAAAGTGGTAAAATAAAAACCAAACAAAACAACGAACTCCGAGCGCCAGACGACAGTCTGTGTGGCAGAGGGAAACGTTGACAGCAAATAATAAAAACAATTGGATCAGGCAAAATAAGCAACAACAAATAAAGTGTCGTCAGAAAATGGCGAATTTCCAATGCGCTACGCTAAGTGCGAGCGAGGGTTTTATCAAATGAAGTAATATGCATTTAAATTGAATTCATTCGAAGGAAGGCTGTTTCCAACCGGTCTCAATAATACCCAAAAAAAAGTATGGCTACACTGCACAATAAGTGTACGAAATATATATGTACACACGCATTTTCTTATCCCCTTGTGCTGCTTTCCACTTTTCGTTGTTGTGGTGCCAGACTTGCATTCCCCTTCCCAGTCCCATTCTGCTCCCATTCGTAGTGTGCAAATAATATATCGAAAGCGTACAATATTCATATCGCCAGTCTGTATCCATTATGCTGCTGCTACATACACAAGCAATCGGAGGGTAAAAATGTCGCACATAAATAAGTTTAAAATAATGCGAAGCGTATGGGCAATAATTTTAAAATTTATGTTTATTTACAATTACAGTTTATTTGCCAAATTCACACAGACAACAGAACACAAACACACACACACACACAAATGCAGCTGCTCCGAAAATAAATTTTGCATTCATCCAAATTGGGATAATGGTTAAATGGCAATTTGAATTGAGATAATACACCGCCCCGAAATTCGTAGTAAGAAAATATCGGTACCCAAAGACGGCATCGATATTTTATGTCAGTGTTGGCAACGATTATTTGATTGCAGCTCTGAATTTCCGGAGTCGCTGTGTGGTTTTTCGTGCGCCAGTCTTTTCTAAATTTCTACAAAACCTAATTCAGAATTAATCATAAGAGCGCGATGTCCGTTTCAAAGGTGACACGAAAAAGATCAACCAAAGAGTGAGTAGAAATCAATCGAGCAGATCAATGGCCAGAAAATAATTCAGACTTTTGTGCCTGCCGCTGTTCTTAGCAGGCTGGTGCCATCGGAGCTTGGAGAACTCTCGGTGTTCATTTGGTAAGCGAATGTTCGATTTAGTCTCAGTTGAATCCAAGCTAACTTAACATACCCAACCCGATTCGTGGAAGCTCCCCGTCGTACCATTACCGGATGAATGCTGCCGACAAGGAAAAAAATCTAGTACGGTATGTCAACCATTCGGCCAAGCATCAGAATCGGAATAATCTGAATTAATCTCGTCCATCCGCAGGCTTAACATTTCATCCGTGGCGCAATTGAAGGCGAAGCTATGCCGCCCAGTCAAGTAAGTGAATATTTTGCGATTTAGTTAAGCGGACAAGTTTTAGTTGGCCAACACGTGCCATCAGGCAGAATGATACTCGTGGCCTTGGGGCAGCGATCGGCAAGCACAATATACTTTGGGTGCAGCGACGGACGGTTTTAATTCTGGTTAAATTGCTTTAAAAAAGGAAAAGAATTCCCAGTAACACAAGATACACGTGTCTACACACATATGTATGTACGTACATATGTATGCACAAAAAGAAAGGGAAATACGAGCATAATGTAAATACAGCCTTTGTGTAGAATTCAATTAGAAAAGGCACCCGACTAAGCTCAGCGATAGCGTTGAGTAAATAGTTAATGAGTTGAATGAATAACCTATCCTTTTTGTTGTTGTTGTTGTTGTCATCCAAAACTAATCGTGTACACATCCAACCGAAGAACTAAGCCGCCAATTACGTCGACTCCAAAGCGTCGGTATAACGCACGAAAGAAGTGAGTAAACTTATTTCGAAAAGGAGAGACACAAAAACTAATGAAAATATCTTACATACATATGTATGTATACAGGCCGCAAGCTGCTGCTGGTGCTCCTGCTGGTGCTGGTGCCAAGAGGTGAGTGATTGATACCTGATCCCTGATCTCTTATCTTACTTGATGCTAAACAAACCCGATTCAAATCCGATTAAGAAGCGGCGCTCGACCTGTAAAAACGTCCAGAAGCTTACCAAAATCGGTGCCCATAAACAAGGAGAAATCGGTTGAGCAGCTGACAAATGTTTCCAATCAGTAAGTTAATTCGAGAGTTCAGTTTCCAAGCAACGCCCAACACTTCGCATTTATAATTTGCACTTATATAAAAGACTGGAATATCAAGAAGGCTCAACCAACATGAAGACATACGCCAATGACGACCGTGCTGGTGCCGGGATGGGTGTGGTCCAGCCGACTGGGCTTTCCGAAACAGACATCGAGGCCACCGTGCCAGCTTGGGAAGTGTGCACCGACGGGCAGCTCCGCGATAATACGTAAGAAAAATCAACAGCTCCTCCAGTTCTTTTTCAAAGATTTTTTTATCCAGGAGCGATATGGAAGAGGCTGAACCTAACTACGACTTGATTCTACGCGAACGTAAGTTGGCCAATATGAGACGATACAGAATAGATGCAGATACAGGAACCCAATATATATTTCCCATTTTTATCTTGCAGTGAAAGCAAAATTGCTTTTGCTGTTAGCTGATTTGAAATCGTCTAAAGGCTCAACATAATATGCGTATCATCATATTATAAGTGATATACATACATATCAGGTGCGGAACACGCTGGATTATTTTTTTACCGGACTCACTGAATATCTCCATTTATTTTCATACTAATTTTTCATTTAAATCTTAAGCCAAATATCAATAACCGATTCAGATATCGAATTTAAGTAATATTTTTTGCAACACTCATGTCTCAAAGATCTCTAAGCCCAGTGGCCAGTAGTAGTATGTTTAGTAAAGTCCTATTAGGACGATTCGTTGTGTAAGAATAATAGTTCTGTGCGACTAATCAAATGAAAAAAAATACAAGAAAACATTAAATTCTGTGCCTAAAAAAAAAACCGTTATCACGATGCCTAATAATTTGTATTAATGGTATTTGTAAATCAATTGCCAGTGCGAGCCATTTGTGAGCAATTATTTATTTATGGCTATAAATATTCTCCACTCGGAAATTTGCATGTGGAACGCGCTCCTCCTCGACTGGTCTCCACTGGCGGATTTAATCCAAAAGCATGCATTCAACGTTTTTGCTATTGAATTTTAATTAATTTTACAAATAATGGCTGCAACGGGGTAAAGAAAAAAAGCAACCACCAACAACCAACAAACAAACGAATTAATGTCAAACGAAAATTAAGAATTACAAAATACAAAAATGTACAATTACCAGTGAATCGAAAAAACTCAAATTCCTAGTATATCTATTTAAGTAAAAATATTCTTTGTGTGCTGCTTCTCTTGAAAACCATTTGGATGCTAATATATATTTGTATTTAAGAAAGAAAATGCATTCTTACAATTTTAGTTTGTTTTCATCGTATATATATATTTGTTTGTATATATCTGCGACTTTTGATTCATACCAATTTGTATTTAGACCAACAGAAATTTAAATTTAAATGCAATTATTGGTTTTGACATACATATGGAAGATTGAAAACACACAATAATATAAAATAAACTACTGTAAATGTTTTCTCAAGAATTGCAAAAAAAAAAATAAAAATATAAAATAGGGTACAATTCCTAAAAAAATCGTACCGTTGGCCTTTTTGTTCAATTTCATTTATTAGTAGATTATTTTGTTAAGAATAGATGGTACTAGCACATGGCACTGGCACATGTCTAAAAATAATACCATTCCATACAAAAATAAATTTAAAAAAAATGCCAAAGTTGAAGAAACATCGAAAAAGGATAGAAAACTTCAACTTTGAGTCGCTATATCTTCAGTTATATCCATTCTATTACCACGAATCAAAAATCCTTTGAAAGGTACTAACATTTTCTTGTCAATCTGTTACTTTTTGTGGATATCCGCTTTGCAGGTTCTGAGTAAAAATTATGAAAACGCAAACAGTCATCGAATTGCAGTTTTTTAATTTTTAAAAAAGATTTTGGGGGTTTATTGCGAATTCTAAGTATGAGGAAGTGATCTACTGATCACGGCCCACAACTAAAATTTTGTCTCGGTCAAAGTACATTCAAAAAATTCTCATTTGTCGCACAGTGTTATTAATATATTATATTATATTCAAGTAAGTACCTAGATACATATGTATAAATGTAAATTCCCATTTACTTTTTATGACTTTATGGAATTCAAATATTTTTGGAGCATCTTTTCCAATTCGAATTGGGGTAAAATAATTACAATTAACGACGATGCCATAAAAAGTGGCGAGAGAATTCCGCGAATTATTTGCGCTCTGTTGATTTTGAAATGCTCTGCAATTGGAAGACTGGTGGAGCACACCCTCACCGCCCCACCCGTCACCCGGCGCTCCACTGCCGACGCAACTGTCTTCCGTTAGTATCCCTTTGGCTTTCTACTGGCATCGGACGAGGCGCGGGGCAGCTGCTGATTTTCTCCTTGAAACATGAATAATGTTGAAATTTAATTATACATAATTCAAACACAATTCCAACGGTGAATCTGTTTGCAATGCAACAACAATCCACTGAGCGCGAGGAGTGGGAGGAAGTGGGTGCGGGCATGGATGTAGCCAGTACGACTGAATGGCCCAGGCAAACGAGATGCAGAGGTGTCGCTGGACTGCCACCGCCTGCCTGCCTTCTGGACTACACTTTTTGCGCATTTTCTCACACGCTCTAATTAGTTAAGCGAAGCGTGGGGCATGGTCATAGTTGGGCGAACGGATGCACTGGATGGATGGTGGATGGCATGCAGCCGGCTGATGAATAAGGATTGGCATACGGGTGGGATAGGGGTGGAGTGGTGTGGTGTGGCGTGGTGTGGCGTGGGGTGGTGTGGGGTTCGCTGATGAGAGGCAGCGGGGTGGAATGGAGGACAAGCCCGTGCGGTTGCAGCTTACCAGCGGTTGCATCTTTTGTTAGAATCTGAGCGGTTTTCACGTTGCCACAGCAACAGCAACATCAACAGCAGTGCACTGTTTGGTGCTGGGGGAGCGTAGCGCCATGGCAGTACAATTTTTATCCGATTTGCTTTTATTTCCACAATAATTGCAGCAAAAACAACAACAACAGCAGCTGCAGCAGCTGGCAGCTGGCAGCGCCAACGGACCCCATCCGATTGCCCCCGCCCCAAAGGAGACAGAGCAGAGGCAGAAGCAGTCTGGTGGATGGGAGCGGAGCTAAGGCACCTAGCAATATGCTGCTATATTTCAAAGCAGCAGCCAAAGCCACGAGTCCATCTGGCAATGCTCTCCCAATGCCCATCCCCCTCTTCTGCCAGCCCATTGTGCAGCGGTAATTAAATTGCAGCCTGCCCCTTTGTTCGAGTCCACGGACTCCCCAAAAAAGAGCCCACCCAGCCCACATAGAGCTCAGCCCAAGGAGCCCCATAGAGTCCATGGAGTCCATTCCAAAGTTCGGTGAAGAATGGGAAGTTTCTGTGATCATCGAGATCATCATCCATAGGTAACAATAAATAGTACAGATCAAAATTGAAAATAAAATACAGAATACCCGTAGTTGGGGCATACTCGGGGGCACCTACTCGTCCATATAGTTGGGGGGGAAATGCTGAGGCCGAACTGTCTATTTTGAGCTGCTTAATTCATGGCGTTCGTCAACAGCTCAAAGTATTTTCACTGCCAGTGATTTAGCATTTAAGCCTGCCTCCTCGATGTTTGTTTACTTGCACTTGCACTTGAGTCTCTCGTAATGGTGCTGGAAATGATTGCATCTGGGCAGTTGTCGTTGTCCAGTTGTCCGTCTGTCTGTCTGCCTGTCTGCCTGTCCGGCTGTCCTCTGTGGCAGCACCACTTGAAGCGATGTCAGTCAGTCGGTGGTTTGGCTTTCGCTTCAGTGGTGTGGTGGGGTGTGGTGAAGGGAAGTGGAGACTCTGAGTAGATTTTCAATGCATCATCAGCATGATAATCAACAGCATCACTCGTAATTCCCAAACGCAAACCGCCTTGGCACAGTGAAGCCTCACAGCCGCACCTTTGGGCTCGATTTGAGTCGCTTTGTGGCAGTTCAGAGGAGACAGGAACAGTAAAAAAGTGCAACAAAAGCCTCTGCTGCTGCTGCTGCTGCCAACATCTGAGCAGGTTCAGACAATGCAACGGACGGACGGACGGACTGCAGCAAGATGGTTGCGTTGCTGGCCTGAAAATGCATTCGGTAGGCAAAAGCCACCGCAGCAGCTGCTTGCAATGGCCGCAAGCTGTCGACAGCCTGGGCCTGAGCCTGGACCTGGGCTTTGCCCAGTAGAGCACACACACACACACACACACATGTGCATATGAATACATAGAAATGTGTGTGGGTGGATGGCATGACTTGTACACTGTAAGAGGCAGGATGCACATTGACCAACCAACTGAGCAGATCGGGTTGGAAGCCAACGAGTGTTAAGCATTTTAATTGCAGGCATTAATTTAGAGATGGCTGCCAGTGAGCAGGAGAGTATGGCTCACACACACTGCCCGCTGCATGCATGTGTGTGTGTGTGTGTGTGGCACTTGGCAAGGCAATTGCATAAGCCAAAGTGAACTGGCATAATAAATAAATGTTGAATGCATTAGGATTCACTCCTATACACACACCCAAATACATACATATGTACAGAATATTTATGTACTTAGGTACATACATATTTATGTAGACTTTGTTGCTCGACGGCAATTGCCATTTAATTAAAACACCTTGCTATTTATAATGGCCACCCAATTCCCTACCCTCTGCCACTCTGCCACTCTGCCACTCTCTCTCTCGCATGATCGCTTATTCGCTTGCCTCATTGTTACAAAATTTGTTATATTTCCACATTATTATTCCATCATTTATAGCCACACAATGCAAATACATATACGTACATATATACTTACATACGGAATTAAAGTTCGATGGGAGATTTAAGGTTTATCCATCTTCGGGCATACAGCTTCAAGGCCAGAACTTAAAAGCCAGTTTAGTATTAGAGCAAAAACCTTTGGGAAAAGAACGATCACAGTGCAACGAAAATTAAACTTTAGGAAACGTTTTTGTGGGCTCATTGCCAATTCTATGTATGGTGGGGATGTGATGTGATTTACCCTAAGTACAAAATCACTTGCTCATACACAGATAGAAAAAAGCCCTGAAATTTTAATACTTTCACTTAGATTTTAATATTTATGCCATTGATTTTCATCCCAGAGTGGTTGTATTAAAATTGAATATTTTGCACTTACATTTTGAAATAAATATGAAAATATTTAAATTTAATATGTTTCATATTTAAATTTAATATGTTTCATATTTAAATTTAATATGTTTCATATTTAAATCTAATATGCTTTATATTTAATTTAAAAATATTTTATGCTTAAATTTAATATTTTTCATATTTATATTGAGTATATTTCATTTTTTAACTAATTGGTTATTATTTTGGTGTGTAGTGGTGTTAAAGTTTTCAACTAAAAATAATCGCAACATGAGTAGAACTGCATTTGTAGTGTTTATGCCCCTGCGCTAAGATTTTAACTGTTTAATTTAAAACAATCATTTTGAATCGTCATATATATTCAATTTAAAACTCAATTCATTTTATTTTTTGGTTTTTTTGTTGTATTAAAAAAGCATTTTCTTAAATTCAAATTTGATTGTAGTTATTTTTACTATGCCTTTTTTCTATCAGTGTAGTTTAATCAACTGATGCAACCATTAAGTCAAGCATTAAAGAATTTCAAGCATTAAAATTAAAAATTTAATTTATTTTGTTGCACTCTAAAATAAATTTACTCCAAAAAGAAAAAGGTGCGCACACTTCCACTGAACTCTCTCTCTCTCTCTCTCTCCTTCTCCATCTTTCTGTTTATTGCGGATTTGTTGCAGTTGCAACTTCTTGCGTCTATTACTGGCATTGCTGATGCTGCGGGCAGTAAAACTGCAGCAGTCATCATATTAAAATGCAATTATACAATTGCCTTTGTATGGCCACATCTCCCACTGCCACTGCCACGTCCTCGTCCTCGAAATGAAACCGCTCTTGGAACCCCACCCACCCTTTGAATTGCCTCGTTTCCGGGTCTTTCACTTTTGTCGCACTCGTGCATAATTTATAACAATTTACTATTGTAGTATGTATCCCTGTGTATGTGTATGCCACGCCTACTACACAAGGTTGTGTGTGTTGGTGTGTGTTTTGACTTTCGGTGAATTGTATCCATAAGCGATATCTCTGTGGCCATACTCTTAGTTCGCCGTGCCACAGTGGGGCCTCCGGTCATATGTCATTTTATTTTATTTTATTTTTATAATCTCTGAGACTTTATGCAAAATATTTGTGAGTCATTAGACTATTTAATTTTATTTAAGGTATATTTTTAATAACTGGCACGTGTTGGATGTGGCTACCCAGAGAAGGGTCCAAGGACTGTGCTGTGCTGTGTCCGTTTTAGTCGTCTTGCCTTGGCAGCTGTTGGCGATGGCAGGTCCAGGGCTAAAATGTAATAAATTTGGGCTCGTAATATGCATGTAAATGTATGCTAGCTAATGCGTAGTGGTATCTAATGGCAAATAAAATATATAATCATTGTTTTGCAGGTACGTTGTAGGTAGTTTGTGGGATCGGAAACGCTTCCCTCAGACTGCCTGCCCGCCCATCAACGTACAAACTTTGGCACTTCCCTCGACGGGCCCCGCCCCCTTCACCGCTTGACTCCTTTTTTGTGGCGTTTTTTGAGCGTGCAAATGTTAAGTTGTCCCCCCCCCCCCCTCTTGTGCCGAAAGCTTTTGGTAGAGAAACTTGGAGCGGCATCGCCAGCGCCATCGCCATCGCCGCCCTTTGTGCCAACTTGACAAACTAAAAATGAAAAAAGTTTCTTCTATGCGGCGCCTTTTTCAATATCCTTTTCCCCACTCCACCCCATCGCTCGTCTTCATTTTTTTTTTGTTCCTACTGTTTTACCACAAAAAGCATACAAAAGCGAGCATAGAAATGGAGCAGGAGTGGGGGTGGGAGCAGGAGTTGGTGACTCTGTGGAGCCATGACGACGGCTCAACGTATCGATTGTGATTTTTGTCTGAAACTTGAGACCTCGCTTAGGCACAGAATTTATCTCAAAAGGTTGATGATTTTTGGTGGGGGGTGTTGGTGGGTGGTGGGGGGGAGATTTGATATTTTCAGTAATGAATGCGAATGTAAATTAAATTGTGATATTCGTATACAAATAGTTTGGTTACTGCAGGGGCAGAATTCAGTGGACTTCAACAGTCGAGAACTTACTCAAATAACATTGGATTGAATTTATATTCAACAGCCCTGCCCCTGCCCCTGCATCCCAGCACCTGATGTGTCTGCGTGCTAGTGACAGTTCAATCTGCTGAGAGGAGAGGCTGCGGCAGCGGCAGCGGCTCACCCTCCAGCCTCAGCCTCAGCCTCAGTCTCAGCCTTAGCCCTCGTATTTGATGTATTTAACAGACAGAATGAATCGTTTCGGAATCGATAGTTTATATACACTTATTTTTAAACTGATTATTGATTCGTCAGAGATGAGAAACACACAGAGGAAAAAACCCGAAATCTAGTACCATTTGCCAAGCTCTGTCGGGGCACACAACCCCCCCACGTCACTCGATTCCTCAGTACAAAATCATTCACCTAAAACACAACAAACGGAAAACATCATCTGAAAAAATTCAGTAGAATTTATTTTTTAATTTTTTTTTATTTTGCATTTTTCTGTGCAATCTTCCCACACGCGTCTCCCGTCCTGCTTGTGATCCTTACCAACGGCACTCAAGGCCAGCGCAATGGCTTTTATAGCTCGACAGAACCAGAAGGGCGAAGTGGTGGATCGCAAGCAGCTGTTGGGCCGTCGTACACGTGACCTGAGCGACTCAGAGGAGTCGACTGCGGGACTCACCAATCGCACTCTGGTTCCACTCGTAGCAGATGCCGACACGGACACAGACACATCATCCTGCACCCTGGTGGGCAATCGAGAGGATGTTGGTGAGTTCTTGGACACTGACACCGAAACCGAAACTATGGCGAGCTTCTGCCGGAAACTGGAGGAACTGGAAGATGCTATGGCAGGTCTCAGCCTCGAAGATGGCAATAAGTCGGGCTCCCAAGAGGATTGGCGAAGTGAGACAGGGACCCTTGTACCGGCCGCATCTATCGGCGATTGCAGTGACATCTCGGAGTCCACCCTTATCAAGGGAGGGACTTCACCCACCGACAGTCTGAAGTCCTACCACAGCTGCAGGACCTACGTCATAAACACTGAAACACCAGAGGACACGGAGCTCCTTGATGATCGAAGCGAAGATCGCGAACTGACGACCAGCAGCAGCTGCACCCTGGACACTGCGAGGGAGTCCCTCTGCACCGGGGGTGACGCGTATGCCTCTGATCTTGAGGCATCGGAGGGTGGAACTAACCGCCCTGCCCTTTTCAGCTGGTTTAAGGAGCTCGAGCGGAAGAAGGATTGCGGAAGAAAGCAGTTGCCGCAGCGCAGGTTGGACGTTTTCAAAAGGAAGTTTGGGTACTCAAAGCCGTCCATATCCGTCCGTATTAAGGCGAGACGCAGCGCACGTCGGTCCCGCCAAAAGGAGACCCCGGAAGACAGTGAGGAGGAGATGTTGCAGCTGTGCAAGGTCTTGTCTGAGTGCAGGGCCAGGGTCGAGAAGTGTCCCGACCAGGGATTAGTCTCCTCGCGTGTCGAAAAGTCGAAGGAGTGTGATTCCAGTAAGGATCCTCCTGCTGATGCTAGAGAGGAAACACCAGAGGAGCTCCTTGAAGATCGAAGCGCAGATCGCGAACTGATGATCAGTAGCAGCTGCACCCTGGACATTGGGAGGGAGTCCCTCTTGAAGTCCCTCAGCACCGGGGATGACAAGTATGCCTCTGATCTTGAAGCATCGGAGGGTGGAAGTAACTTTCCGCCCTCTCTGAATTTGAGGGAATTCCGCCTTGGCTCTTTCCGCAGGTTTAAGGAGCTCGAGCAGAAGAAGGATTGCGGAAGAAAGCAGTTGCAGCAGCGCAGGTTGCACGGGTTTAAAAGGAAGTTTGGGTACCCAAAGCCGTCCATATCCTTCCGTATTAAAGCGAGACGCAGCGTACGTCGGTCCCGCCAAAAGAAGACCCCGGAAGACAGTGAGGAGGAGCTGTTGCAGCTGTGCAAGGTCTTGTCTGAGTGCAGGGCCAGCGTCGAGAAGTGTCCCGACCAGGGATTAGTCTCCTCGCGTGTCGAAAAGTCGAAGGAGTGTGATTCCAGTAAGGATGCTAGAGAGGAAACACAAGAGGAGCGCCTTGAAGATCGAAGCGAAGATCGCGAACTGATGACCAGTGGCAGCTGCACCCTGGACACTGCGAATGAGTCCCTCTGCACCGGGGGTGACACGTATGCCTCTGATCTTAAGGCACCGGAGGGTGGAACTAACCGCCCTGCCCTTTTCCGCTGGTTTAAGGAGCTCGAGTGCAAGAAGGATTGCGGAAGAAAGCAGTTGCCGCAGCGCAGGTTGGACGTTTTCAAAAGGAAGTTTGGGTACTCAAAGCCGTCCATATCCGTCCGTATTAAGGCGAGACGCAACGCACGTCGGTCCCGCCAAAAGGAAACCCCGGAAGACAGTGAGGAGGAGCTGTTGCAGCTGTGCAAGGTCTTGTCTGAGTGCAGGGCCAGCGTCGAGAAGTGTCCCGACCAGGGGTTAGTCTCCTCGCGTGTCGAAAAGTCGAAAACTTTCATATTTTCGAAAGAGTGTGATACCAATAAGGATCCTCCTGCTGATGCTCGAGAGGATTAGCGAACCGACACCCAAACCAAAAAAAAAAAAATGTAATTGTTCCGCTAACAGTTTTATATTATTTTAAATTTGAAATTTTTGTTGGTGGGCCGCAGCCATCACCTCTGCACCATCGCACTGTCCCAATATGGATTCAATATCGTAAGTAGTCTGCTCCTGGTCTCCTCCTCTATGCTATCGCTCCTGGAACTGTAGTAGTAATGCTTTCAGGCAGAGGGAAACAGGAAACGAGACTGGAATTTCAACACCCCGCAATGTTCTTCGATGGTAGCCAGGAGTTTTGACGGACCTGTTTCATCTGCTCATATAATTTCTGCACCATTGAAACTTTCGAAGTCCGAGGATTCCAATCCACGTCCAGATCTATCCAAGTGGGCTGGCCCCAGGTGAGTTTTTTTTCTATATACCTTCTTCGCGTCTGACCTCCCGTTCCCATGTCACATACCCGGACACGGAAACGGATCAATCAGCTCTGCTCTCCAGGAAACATGCGTCCGGCCTCGTACAACAAAAGCAACAATTTCCATATGCAAAATTTGAACTGTATTTTAGCTCGTTTCTACATCTCAATACGCGAAATAAATTGTTTTTGGCTAATTCAACAATTTCAGCTTCATTTATCCTCGTCCATGAGTTCGGTATTATGTATTTTCCAACAGCGGCAAATCATTTTATTGACTGTACCTGAGTTTTCACGAAAATTGGGGCATCAAGGCATCAAATCTTCCTGCTGCCAGCTGAGAGTAAATTAATTCTGCTGCCGTTCGACCAAAAGTCAAACGAAGATAAGATAAAATAAATATAATATATAATATAAATACTTATAAACGAGAAGGAACGTGTGAGTCGCTTCTGGGGACGCGACTCTACTTATACCAGTATTCAGTCAGTATATACATTTTTGAGCATATAATTTTTTAGAATTTTAAAATTGAAAAAAAAAAACTTTACACTTTACATTTTTTTGCTACATCTGTTATCTACATCTACATATACACCTACAATGTATTTTTTATATCTAACATGTTGATTATAGATGTACCATTCATATTCTACATCTCCTACGCTACGGGTTGCTCGCGCACCGAACGCGGCAGAGTGTGCGAGCGAGAAAGAGAATGAGTAGCGGGTTCTAGCTGAAGTAGGCGGGGAAACCAACAGATAATTAATTTCTTCATTCTGGATATAATTATAATCCGATCTGATTCAGATTCGGCAATCTGGTAGATATGGTCATTCTCTACGATACTGCGTTTTTAGTTTTATCGTATCTTTAAAACTGTGCCTGCCACAGATTTTCGTCCTTTGTGTGGGCGGAAGGGGGCGGGGCGAAATTTTGAAATACACTTGTAGCAGTGTGATATCACATGAGTCTGGAAACCAAATTTGGTTGCCCTAGCTCTTATAGTCTCTGAGATCCAGGCGCTCATCGAGACGGACAGACGGACGGACAGACAGACATGGCTCTATCGACTCGGCTATTGATGCTGATCAAGAATAAATATACTTTGTGGGGTCGGAAACGTTCCCTTCTCTGCGTTATACACATCCACTTTTACCACAAATCTAATATACCCCTTAACTCTTTTTTGAGTACGGGTATAAAAATAGTTATGACTTTTGACCGGGAATTTTGGGCTGCGACATTGTTTGCCTTGCGTCTCTTTTTGCTCCCACTAAAATCACGCATTTATTTGTCATTCTTTTGCCATTCTGTGTGCTCGGGCATTGAAGCTTTCTCGTTGCCACAAGCTCTGTTTAGGGCTCTTGCTGAGCCGAGAGAACTGGGCTAGAGATCCGACATGCAACCTGTCGCAGATCTTGTCTGTCCAGTTCGCTTTAATGTTTGGCCCAGCAGAGATGGACTGACCTCTAGCCCGAAGATGGTTCATCAGAGCGAATCATTCGATGGAAACCAGTTCTTTGTCTGCCGTTGCCGCTGCCCGCTTCACTCGCACCGGTATCTGGTCGATCTAGACATAAATTTCATCTAACCCGACAGATCCGAGCCGCGCCGCGCCACGCCGCACAGCAGCAAATCAAGCAGCGGGTTCGCGGGTTCAATTGCCCCGATGCTGTCCTTTTCTTTTTCGCTTTATTGTTACGTCTTCTCCTCTAGCGTATTTATGCGTAATTTGCCAGTTTACACAAATTTCTTACACAAAAAAAAATACATACATATCTTTGTATTTATAGTGGGTGGAAGGGGGAAGTCTGCTGCCCTGAAGAGGCATGAAGGCAGACAAATGAACAAGCGGTCCGTGCCATTTTACTCCTTTTCTTTGACTGCCGTGGCACCCTGGGTCCGGCACCGGCTCCAGCTCCAGCTCCGCGCCGCCTCACGAGTTCATGGGCGTGCCAAACATCCTTGAACTTGCCACAGCCAGGATATCATGTTCGCATATTTTGTCTGGCCTTTTTCCCCTTTTTGTACATACATATATATGTATATATGCGGTACATATACCACGTGGCCATTGACTTGGCCTAATCCAAACCGTTGCCACAGCTACATACATCCCTCTCTGTTTCCAAAATTGTTCTCCAAGGAGAAAAGGGATTTTTCGGCGTGCGTTGTTTTTTTTTTTTTGTAAGTGCGACGCGAAAACTTTTAGGTTCAACAACATTATATTTAAAGTATATTGTACATGCATCTGTATGTGTTAAAGGAATATATATAATTGCCAAAATGTTTCATGAAATATGCTAAAGTGAAAACTTTAAGACTTCTCAAGCTCCCAAACAAGAGATTTGATTCTCTTTTATTTGCCTTTTTCGCATGAAAAGTTGCACATCTTTTCAGTGAATTTATCTGGGATTGAATGGAGTGCGAAATACTTTTGGTAAAATTCTTCGAACTTATCAAAATATAATCACAGATGCATTCAAATCTGGTGTCTAAGGAGTTTTCCCAAAGTTTAACAAAGCTCAGAACAGACATAGAATTTCGAAACAAAAATATATCTTAATAAGCAAATTAACTAAATTCTGTAAATATTTTGTGAAGAAACTTCCTGAAACCTGTTTGAGAAATTCTGCGTAAGCTGTGAAAAAAAGTTCCCCGATGCAGAAACCTGTTTCACACTCGTAATTTCATGGAATTATTTCAAAGAAAGTTAACAATATTCTGCAATTCTTTCTTATGCAAGTTGGAGAAATCTAGCAAAATATTTGCTGTAAATAAACTCATTCTAAAAGTAGCAACACATTTTCTAAATGTATTTAAAGTTGCTTTTTTTTATTGCCAAGATTTTAATCTTTTAAATCTGCTGATTGCTAATTTCTATGGTCTCTGTAGGTGTAATACAATAATTTGAAATATTTTGGATGCTTCATCACTTAACGCTAGAAAAAAACGAGAAGGAACGTGTGGAAACACTTCTCGGGACGCGACTCTACTCATACCCGTACTCAGTCAGTATAGAAATTTGTGAGCATGCACATACAGATAGAGACTCGGCTATTGATGCTGATCAAGAATATATATACTTTATTGTTTCCTTTTCTGCGTTACACACATCCACTTTTACCACAAATCTAATATACCCCTTAACTCTTTTTTGAGTACGGGTATAAATAGATGTCTATATATGTATATCTGTATGTATGTGTGTACCATATTGGGGAATTGTTCAGTTGGTCAGCTGGAGGCGTCGCCAGATGCGCTGCAGACGCGAGTCGGCGACAGACTGAGATGTTTGGGGCTGGGCGTGCTCATTGTGGTAGGGCTCAATGAAATTGACTGCCGACTGCCTCTGTTCGTTGCCCGAGCTCGAGTTCCTCTGCTGCTGATTCTTAGGATTCTTCTTCTTCTTCTTCTTGAGCTGTGTCCTCGACTTGTTCTTCTTCTGCTGGGGCTGGGGCTGGGACTGGGGTTGGGACTTGCGGACGTGACGATGATGATGGGCCTTCTTGGAGCGGAGTTGGTGCTGCTGCTGCTGCTGCTGCTGCTGTGCCTGAAAGTTCTTCTTTAGCTTGGTCTTCTCTTGTGTGCTTTGGCAGGCGACTGTTTTCGCTGTGGCAGTGTGCCGGCTGAATGTGCCTCATCTGGGGGTAAATCCAAGCCCTCTTGAACGTCGACTCCTGTCATTGTGGGCGCTGGCAGCTCTACGAGTTCCACATCTTCAAACTGTCTGCCACGATCCATGGATCTGGAATTATTCGTAGTTGTTGTGGTTGTCGTTGTCGTGGTGGTTGTGGGCGTGGGCGTGCCCGTTGTTGTCGTGGTCGTCGATGTGGGCTGCGTGATCACGATAACATTGTCGCTCGGCGGCTGCTGGAACATGCCCCGCAACAGCATGAACTTCTTCAGCAAATCCCGACCAGAGCCCACACTCTCTGCAGCTGGGACAGCAGCAGCGGCAGCGGTGGTGGAGCCAGCACTACGTCCTTGCATTTGGGGCAGTCGATAGGCTGTGGGTGACCAAAAAGAGGTGCTGTTCAGTATCGAGTGTGGTTGAAGGGGTTCCCTGACTCACCGCTTCGTCGTGCTTCACTCACTGCTGTGAGGCCGATGAGCAGCCAAAGGCCACTCTGAGGGATCTTCATGCTGCGAGATTTCCCGGCACAATGTCTTCCCCAGCCATGGAGACGTCTGCTCTTATAAGATCGAACCACGCAAAGTGCAATTAAAAGATTTCACCCGCATTGCGTGATGCTGATGATGGATATGCCAATCCATGACATGCAATCATTAGAAGAAAAGGTAGAACGGGAAGCCGGTGTCAGGGCTGGGGCCCACTCATGTATCTATCTATCTATCGGATGCCGAAGTGAAAGTTCTTTCTCTCTGCTAGAATTATTCACTAGCATGTGTCTCTGTGTGTGTAGTAAATCAAATCTAATAAACTCGACAATAAACATGCGTATTCACATAAATCTGTGGCTGGCAAAGGGAAAAACTCGTGCAAGCGTATCTCAAAGATACAACTCAGAACAGGCAGGCAGGCAGTGGCAGGCAGGCAGGCGGCAGGCAAACATTGCTCTGTATATTCGTACTGTATAAATAAATAAACGAATTTGTGCTCTGCCCCCTGCCCGGCTTTGGCTCTGGGAAGAGCGCTATCTACAATATACTGGTGCGTATTTATTTTTATGCACATATTTATATTACATGGACCAGTCTTAGTCCGCTCTGTCCTCTGTGCCCTGTCCGATTCTCGGTATCAGACTCTCACTTACTGTAGCCGTGGGTATCCGTATCCGTATCTGCAGCTGGAGCTGGAGCTGGAGTATGTGTATCCGTATCTGTGGCCATGGGGGCTATGTGGCTATGGCACTATGCGAGTGTCGAGTGTCGAGTGTGGCGGAGAGTGCGTGAGACGCACAAGGCAAATAACTTTAACATAATTCACTTAAATCTTTTTGTTTTAATCTTGAAAAGTGTTTCTTCCCACAGAACTCTCTTACTCACCCACTGGCACACGCACACGTACTTACATGCAACACCCTCACGCACACGCACTCTCATTCGCACTCGCACTCGCACTTCGCCCAAAGACAGTTCTGACAAGTACAAAGATACTCAGATACTCAGATACTTGGCTGCTCCGACTACGTACATGTGTCTGCCTGGGTGTCTGTCTGTGTGTCTGTTTGTGTCGAGCAGCAGCTCTCAACTTTAACACCCAAGTCGCAAAATGTTTTTCTGTAATCATCCAAAGTGTTGTGTCAATAGCTCGACGTACCCTAAAACTGCTCGTCTGATATTTGCTGTTATCCTTATTATTATTTTTACTTTAACACTTGCGGTGCGCCGCAGTCGGCATAGTTACTCCTCCGACTCGTCCGTCTGTGTGGGTCAAGTGGTGGCACGCCGGATTTTCTACTATTTTGCAATTGCCAGCTGAAAATGCTTTTATTATTTTACCCAAAAGCTGCCGTTTCTTCTGTAGCTTAAATTCTTCTTTAACTCATTTAAATGTGCGCACATTTTCTTGCTCAATTTATTGTAATTCGAACTTTTAACTCACAGGCAAAGACTATGAAAATATTTCAAATACAAAGGACTCTCCAATTAAATTGATAATTATCAGCTTCAGTGTCGCTCTCTCCCTCTCTCTCTGCCTCTCTCTCCAATTTCCTTTGAGCAGCATCACATCCCTTTAGTTTCTGATTAAATACATTTTAAGGCAACAAAATAAACTTGAAAGAAATGCAAAAAGCCAATTAAAATTGCACACAAATATTCATTTATATTTTGCATAATTTGGCATTTGATGTTCGTCAATTTGTGCTTAGCCCATAGCCCATACTGGCATCCCAAGTGCAATCAATAATTTAATACCAGCATGGCCCTGTTAAAATGTGTCTTTGTGTCTGTTATTTTTGAACAATTTCCAGTTCCATTTTCAGTTATTATTTTTCTTGCATTTCTGATTAAATACGTAAGTCTGCGAGTGTCCTGGCTCGAGTTCTTGTCCTGGTTGTGGGTTGTGGGTCAGAGGATGCCTGATGTTTGTGCAAATTCAATTATAGAATTTTCTATTAACTTAAAAGCTTCTTATATTTATTTAATTTGTTATTGTGTCTCACTTTGGTTTGGTTCCTTACCAGTGGGGTGTGGAGGCGTCTATCTATCTATCTGTTAGTATTATTGACACTGGGACAGAGACAGCGACAGAGACAGACAGCTTGGAAACCAGGCGCATTGCATAAGAATGTTGCCATCAATTAGACACATCCTCAAAAAGGGGCAGCCAGAGGGCGGAAGGGGCTACACAGCCTGAGGTACACCCAGAAGTAGAAAACTAAGTGGAAGTTGCCTCAGTCTCTGCCTCCGTTTTTGCCCCATTTACATTTGCCATTTGGAAATTCTTCATTTGCCCAGGAGGAAGGCCTTCCCCCCCCCACAAACATTTTGCCAGATAATTTGACAGTCTGGCACTCGAATGCACTCGTTCCTCCAGCCTTCCCACCCCTCTGCCATCCCACTCACTTATAGTGTACCATTCTTTCCTTTCGCTTTGGCTTTGGCTTTGTTGAGTGATTGAATTGTTTTTGGAGCAAGTTAAAGTTGATCTACTTAGCACATCTATTTCATTGGACAATCCCTCGGCTGGCCTGCCTTCTCTTTTTATCTGTGCCTGTGCCTGGCTCTGACTCTGACTCTGACTCCGAAAACTTTTGGCCTGGCAGCATGTAAAATGTTTATGGCTAATAAGCAGAACTCCTCACAAATTGAAAAGTTTGCCATCCGGGCAATGGAAAAACTTATCAACTTAATATTATTGGGCCCAGGCCCAGACTGAAGCCCCAAAATGAAGACTTTCGTTTGCATAAAAAATAAACTTTTGCATTTTGCACTTTCTGCATTTTTTTTTGTTTCTTTAAAGTGGATCGAAACTCTGCCGAAAATATAAAATATATATAGAATATATATCTGTGTATCTGGGTATTAGTTTTGGCAGCAATTGTGATCCGTAAACCGTCAGTTGAGTTTAACCAAATTAAAGTTTTATTTCCATTAAATATTCTCTTGCAATTGCTGTAAATTTATATAAAAAAAAAATGTTCTTAGATAGTAGAAGTCATTGCCATTTCGTTGATCTCGTAGGGGGGGGGGGGACATTGTTCCGAGTACCGAGTTCCGCCTCAAAGGTACTGCACTCGACGGATGTTCTGGGCAAAGCTCTGCAGCGGGTTCCTCCTCATCATGGGACGCTGCCTCAGCCGCTGACCCAGCCGGGTCACCTGTGGGGTTCCTTCGGCAGCGCCATTGGTGAGCGTCTCAATGGGCTGCTCGGGCTCCGAGTCGTCAGCAATTGTCGCGGCCAGATCCTCGTCGTTGGGGCGCTCCTCGTCGCTCTCTCTGATGGGCATGGGCAACGGCATGCTGGCCAGCTGTCGGAACATGCGCAGATTGAGCGGCACGTAGCGAACCTCGTTGCCAATGGTGACGGGCACCAGGGGCACACCACCGGCGAATGCCGAGCCACCGAAGCCAGCAGGCAAACCGCTGAAGCCGCCAGCCAATCCGCCGTCCAAGCCGCCGCCCAAACGTCCGTCCAACGCTGCCCCATAGAGAGCTGCCTCGTTCCAGCCGTACAGGCCGGCGTATGGCAGCGGGGACGCCTCGTCCTGGCGTGTGCGGAAGTACTGCATGGGCAAGCCGCCCGGATAGGCGATCGGGCTGCGAATGTACTCGCCAAGGCGGGTGCCCCCCGTGGTAGTAGTGGCCGGTGTAGCGCTGGTCAGGTTGTTGTTGTTGGTGGTGGTGGTGGTGGTCGTGATGTTGGGAAGTCCTTGTCCTAAAATCAGGATGGTGGTGCTGCCGCCGCCGCCGTTGCCATTTTTGCCGGGATAGAAGTGACGTGCATTGCCATCCTGGCCCTGATGCCGGGGCTGATAGCGCTGCAGCAGCTGGGCCGGACTCAGGCCGGACGACAGCAGAAGCAGCTGTTGCAGCTGCTGATCAGCCACCAAATCATCCTCGTAGCCCACATCCACAGCGCCAATGAGTCGTGGCTCCGGGGCCTCGCTGGGATCGTCCTGGTTACTCGGCGACTTCTCCGGGAACTGGAACTGCCACAGGGGCTGGCCGAAGACAGGTGCGGCACTCCTGGCCGAGATGCTCTGCGCAAACAGCACAGCCCCCAGGAGCAGCAGAATTCTCTTCTGGATATTCATTTTATTTTAGTTGTCGGACTGAATTGCTTGCAAGAATCTTGAACTGACTGACTTTGCCTGTGACTGACTGTGCTCGTTGACTGGACAGTGTGGCGCTTTTATAGGTATTTTTTGCACAGCGACTGCTCTGGTGGTGGTGGGAGCAGCCCTAATGAGCCTCAATTTATCCGCCGGTTATCGCTGCCGCTTATCACAAGTTTGCAGAAAAATTTCGCGCTTTCATCGCGATTAAATCCATTAATCTCGCTTCACTTCGCTTCGACTTGTTCTTGGTTCTTGGCTCTATTTCGCGGCTCTTTTTCTTGGCTCTTTTTCGCTTCTGCCCTGTCTTGGGCGCTCTGTCCCGGACTCGAACTTGGCTGCTCGGCTGCTTCGACGTTTTTTTGTGTTTTTTTTTGTTTTTCCTTGGCCTTCTGCCTGGGCTGACTGGCTTATTAGTTTGGCTCGAGCTGATGTTAATTACACGTGCCGCGGATAAGCCAAATTAATGGGATCAGTTGGAGCGCATTTTTTTTTCATATATTTGCTGGTATTTTGGCATCACTTAAGAAGTATTCATTTCACTTATGATACCACAGGCTGTATGTAAATATCTTATTATTTATTAACATACAATAGCTGAAAAGGAACACGCACATTATTTATTTGTATTATTTTTTATTTGCTTATAGATCAGCTTCCAGCTGCAACAAATGTGACGGTAACTGGAAAAATTCCAGGACTTCCTGTAAGGAATTAAATGTAAGTAAACTGATAGAAAAAAGGCATATTTAAAATAACTACACACATATTTGAATTTAAAATGCGATTTTTAAATACAAACATAGCAAAATAAAATAGAATTCACTTTGATTCAAACATAATTGTATTAAAATGGAATATTTAATCTTAATACAAAACACTTAAAAATAAACATAATATATATTATGTTTGTAGTTTAATATGTTTCATATTTAAATTGAATATTATTATGACTCGATTTCAAAATTATTGTTTTAAAATGAAAAGGAAAAACATTTTATTTTAAATATTCCATATTAAACGAAATTAAATATTTTTTGTATTTATTTCAACTATGTGTATATTATTTTTTTTATGTCCCTCGAATTCCCAACTGCTTAAATTATCTTAGCGCAGGGGCATAATCACAACCAATGCAGTCCTACTCATGTTGCGATTATTTCTAGTTGAAAACTTTAACCAATTCACACCATGAGGACTTGAAATGTAGTCCGCGCAGGCAAAATAAAAACCAATTAGCTTAAAAATGAAATATACTCAATATAAATAGGAAACATATTAAATTTAAGCATAAACTATTTTCTAAATTAAATTTGAAACATATTAGAATATTAATTATATAAAACATATTAATTTTAAAAATGAAGCATGTTAACTTTATATATGAAACATATTAAATTTAAATATGAAATATATTAAATTTAAATATGAAATATATTAAATTTAAATATTTTCATATTTATATCAAAATGTAATGAAAAATATTCAATTTTAATACAATCACTCTTGGATGAAAATCAATGGCATAAATATTAAAATCTAATAGAAAATATTAAAATTTCAGGGCTTTATTTCTATCGGATCAGCTTCCAGGACTTCGTTTAAGGAATTAAATGTAAGTACGAATTGAACATAGGCTCAATAGACTAAATAGTCTTGAAACCCCTTTAATGGCCGAAATATTTACTAGAACAAAAAAATATTAAATACATTTGATTTTAGATTTTAGATTTCGTTCTTTCGTTTTTGATTAATTTAAATATATATCATAAAAAATATGCAACTACCATTTAGTTTCTTCCTATCCAAAATTTGAGCTGAAAGTGCGTTAAATATTGATAAGTTTAGGCCTGGCAGAGTCTCGTGTGTGAATGGAATGAAGTGTTTGTGCATGTTGCCCCATGACTGCCACTAATAAAATATTTCAAATATTTCTCACTTGTGGCGTTACCATCACTCTCCCTCTCTCTCTCTCTGCTGCTACGCTGCCACTCTGCAAATATTTTGTTTGGCAGTTTGGCCTAAATCGGTGGCAATACTCGTATAAGCAATATGCATATATACTCGGGCATATTTCTATGAATTCTTGAATTTCTTTTTCGTTTTTTTTTTTTTGCATTGCATTTCATTTCATTTCGTGCAAGACAAATAAGTATTTTGTTGCACTTCTTGCGAGAGTTGGCAATTTTGTTCTGCCATTTTCATGCTAGAAGAGTTAACACTCTGTGTGTGTCTCTCTCTCTCTCTCTCTCTGTGACTATGTCCGTCTCTGTTCCAGCCCCAGCCCCATCTCCGTCTCCAACTGTGTCTCCATCTCCATCTCCGCTTTCTCTCTCTGTCTCTGTCAGCCTGTTTGTGGCTGTCTTTGCCCCCGTGTGTTTGTGTTGGCCCAATGTGTCAAAGTCAACTTGGTAAAAAGTTAGCTTGCTTTTTTATTATTTTGTTGCTCGTTGCTCGCTCTTCGTTCCTCGTCGAGCACTTTTTGAACTTGCCGCTCACCGCTTTTGGCTTTGCTCTGTGCCTCGCATGTATCCAGCCTTTGATTCTGCCTCTTCTACCTTTTCTCCATCTCCATCTCCATCTCTACTCTACTTTTTTTCCATCACTTCTTTGTTCAGCTTTTCGAATCGAGAGCTAGCAAAAATATTATAGAGCTGCATACTTGCCGGCGCCAGGACAAAAACTGAAACTGAAACGAAACGACAAACGGGAAATGTTTTGGGCAGCGACAAATGCAACAATCATCGGAAAACTCAGCATCGGACGCCCTAGCTATAGGTAGGTAGCTATAGGGATTGGGTCCTTGGGGACTTTCCTTTGGGCATATTGCCTTTGGGGGCACCGTCTCGGTGACTGCGATTGGACCTTCTATCTGCCGATTTATACGCCATAATCATAGCTGAAATATCCCTTGCCAGGGTACACAACTAATGTATATTACATCAACAAAATAAATGATTTTGGGCACAACAAAAACACATACTTGCCCTCCTAGTTGGAGCGGGAGAGTGAGCGGAATATGGCGTATATGGCGGACAAAGAAATGTTCTGCCATAATGCGATTTCAGCGCCTTCGACTGCACTTAGAAACCGCTGAACCACCCACAGCAGCACCACTCCACTGCCCCTATTTTTCGCCCAACCCCAGTCCCAGCCCCATCCCCCCCCTTTCAGTGACTGCACTTTGGCCCTGACGATTTTCTTTTCACTTTTCGCCCGAAGAGTTCTTTGTCGCAATAAAAATTTAAGTCGATTTTATGGGGCCGAAGGGATGGATGGATGGATGGGTGGAGTGGGTGGATGGATGGGTGGGTGGGTGTCAGGGTCTCAAGAAGTTGCAGAATTCTCAATTTTTTCAGCAGTCTCTCAGCGATTTCCTTACGATTCTCTGGCACAGCACAGCAAAAAAGGATAGAAGCAGAAAAGTTTGCTTTTTCTCTGGCGATTTTGTTGTCTAAACTTGGCTCTTGTGCTGTGGAAAGGGGGGCTGCTGGAGAGGGGGGCAGAGGTACTGGGCTAATGGCATCGTCAAAAAATTGGAAAGGTTTATTTAAATTTCAACTTGTTTCGAAAACGTTTAAAAAGTTTTTGCGCTACTAACTGACTTCTGATAAAACAAGAGTCCCCCGCCCCCAACGCCCTGCTGGGTGGCTGCCTGGCTGCCTCTTCCTGCCCCGCGGCCATGCTAAAACAACTGACAAAAAGTTGTCCGCCTCTCTTTGGCAGGCGGGGAGGGGGGGTGCTTGAATCATGAATCCGAGTGGGTGGGGCGGGGAGGTCGTGACAAAATTAGCACCAGATATTTTATATCCGGTCCGCAGTCAGCCATGACCCACAACTCCAGCCATCCAGCCAACATCTATTTCAGGCCCACAATGAGATTGAAAGATTCACCTGAGGCCCCGAGAGGGAGAGGTTACAAGGGGTAGCCAGGAACAGGGGGTGCACAGAGGCAGGGCTGGGGGTAGGCTGAAACAAGAGGGTCAAAGATTATGACGATGGGCAGAGCTGCAAGGTAATTAATCAATAAAAATGTGAATAAAAAATGTTGCATGTGTGGAGATATATCCGGGAATTAAGGGTGCACTTAGTGGGTGGCCAGGAATGATGCAGTGAGTCTCAGTGCTAATCAGGCGATGGTTACCCACTGGCTATCCCTCTGCCGTGGGTCAGCTCGTGGCCGCTGCTCTGTCCAAATGAATCTGTCTGAATCCCCAGTCCATTTTATGTATAAAGTTTCGAGTGGCAGCCACCAATATTGACAGCGCTCAAATGTAGAACACGGGGCAAGTGGAATGGGACTGCGCCTGCGACCGGCACTGGCACTGGGACTGCGATGGGGTGGGTGGGGAGTGTGGAACGTGCCTGAGCACGTCTTCTACTTAACTTTGTTAAACACAAATCCTTTGGGCAAAGAGTTGGTCGTTCGTTGCCCCTCGTTGGGGCACGAGCACGCATTAGATTCGAGGGAGGCGGCGGCTGCGGCGTCGATGGCCGATAGAGTGGGAGTCGGGGACCAGCAGACATAATCGCATAAAGATAAAACTGTTTAACAGTCGCAACGAACAAAAGGAACTTGCGGCTGATGGTTTTTGGGGCAGGGTAGGACAGCACAGGACAGGACGGGACAGGGACAGGATGTGACGGGCACTGAGGAGGAGTATCATTCAATTGACCTCCTGCAGATGCTGTGGGGGTGGTGGTGGGGGGGCTGGCTATGGGTTGCCACTGTGTACACAAAGCCCGACACCCGACGGCGCCTCAGCGCAAAAATCTGTCAATTATTTAAATCGCCGCGCAAAAATCTTGGCAAGTGGCAGGTCTGGGGTCCGAGTCTGAGTCTGAGCCTGAGCCAAAGCACCCGCAGGCAGCTCAACGGGGGGGGGGGAGCCTACAAAAAAAAAATATAAGTATATCTTTATACACACTTTGATGGGTTGGGTGTGGGGTGTGTGCTGGTCTGTGTCTGTGTCTGCTGGTAATTAACATGAAAATAAGCGCATTAATGTCAGGAATGCCAGGAGGGTCTCGCGCCCAGGGGGGGTGGGGCTGCGGGGTGCGCGGTTGCCACTGGCAACTTTCAACTTTAAAATGTGCTTCAAGGTCGAAGGTCGCTTGGTCCCCCTCACACCCCCCACTAATTATGGAATCGAAATCGAAATTCATCCGGCTCTCCGTCAGCTACGAAACGGAACAAAACGAAACGTGAAATGTGCGCAAATTAAAATAATAAATCCGCCAAATTAAACACGGAACTCGTTAAAGATGCTCCACCCAGCACCCCACCCCACCCCACCCCACACTGCTTTCCCACGCGCAGGGAAAATGTGGAGCGAGGCTCAAGGAAGTCTTTTGTGCTATCTGCTGCTTATGGCGGCTTCTTTTGACGTCGTCATTAGCAGCATTTACACGTCGCTCAAGGATGATAAGTAACGGGGCGAAAGTGTGAAAAGAACCCAGAAGCAGCAGCAGCAGCAACCAGGAGACGACGCGACTGACACAAATTAAACTGAAATTAGTTGCAACTCACTCTGCCTTAGCCTTCGAAAGTGGATGAGGGTCAACGTTGGGTTGGTAGTTCGCACTCACCCTCCCCCCGCCCCCAAATGCCATGCCCAAAAGCAGGGTTGGGGAGGGGGGAGGTAAGTCGTTGGTTGCATTGGCTAATGAGAAATGCCAGTTACATGAATGTTAAGTAAAAGAAATGCACTCAAACATGCAGATGCAAGCCCTGGAGAATGTCGGAGAGATTGCTCGTAAGTGCTGTCAATTTATTAATGCCCCAAGTGTTTGCTGCAGCATTGCTGCAAATCCTCAGCACATTTCATGTGTGTGTGTGTGTGTGTATATCTAGAGCTTGTATAATAATTACACCAAATATTTACTGTTGAAAAATGTACATGTATGCAGTAATAAAGATATTACATTTTTTTGTGTTTGCAATCGAATTAACGTTGGACAAATGTCAGCCCGGACAGCCGAGGGGGCGAACTTGGCCATGCAAAATTTATTCTGCTGTCAGGACTGGAACAGGCCTAATTTTTGCCTATTTTTAGGGCCAACTATGCGGCATGCAATCAGCTGGAATCAGCGGTCATGGGCTCGGATCGATGGGCAGGGCAGGCGCTCTCTCTCCCTCGCCATGTTTCTCCCCTCACCTTTGTCTCCTCTCTGCTGACCAGTGCTGGAGATGCGCGGCCTGCCTTGTGCGTTCCAACACAATATAAATATTGAGTAAATATAAATATAATAGATATAGATTCAGTCGGTGAATAAGCTTCCCGTCCAGTTCTATTCTAGTTATATTCGTTGCTATTCCAGCTGCTCACTGATCAGTGTTAATTGATCGAATATTGTTTCGCTGCTAGGCAGTGGGGTTCGCTGTTCCCTGGCACTCCATTCATACAGCTGTCGTTCTAGTTGATTCAGCGGCAACGGTTTATGACTTGGCCATTGTCCTGGGCCGCCACCGCAAGCATTTCCTCTGCTGCTCTGCTGCTGTGCTGCTGTGCTGCACTCCCTGTAAGAGAGTGGCTTTGATGGGTCCCGTGGAATTTTGCGGCGTTGAAATCCTACTGCTGATGTTGTTGCAGTTGCTGTTGCAGTTAATGCTGCAGTTGCAGCTGCGGTTCCCTCGCTCAGCAGTGCCATAGTCAGCGATAAAACCACAAAACAGCAGCAGCAACAGCACCAGGCAAAAGTGGAAGAAGCTTGAGGAGCAGAAGGAGGACCAGGAGCAGAAGCAGAAGGAGAAGGAGAAGCAGCAGCAGAAGGAGGAGCAGGAGCAGCAGCAGCAGAAGCAGGACCAGGAGCAGCAGCAGGATGTGGCTATGTGGGTCTGTAGCTACAGCGACGACAGGGAGAATCTTGGCGTGCAAGAACAATGAGGTGATAAACTTGCAGGCTCAACGCATGACAACGATACCCAACAACGACGACGACGACGACGACGACGACGACGTCACATTTTGATGGCTCCTTGGAGAGCAGCAGCCCCCCCCCTGGTTGGGGTCACCACCCATCCACCCACCACCAACCACCAACCATCCGCCATCCATGGCCACTCCCACTGCGGATTGGTGGCAGGGGGAGGGGGCGGGGGAGGAAGTGCAGCCATCCGCTTGCTGCTCGTTGTGTGCATGCAAACAACAAAGGAAAATCAGCAGCGTCTTTGGTTGGGGGGATGTCAGAGTCCTCCGTGGTCCCTCCGTGGCACTGTGCCCCGCTTTCCACACCCAGCCCCAGCCCCAGCCCCTGCCCCTGCTGCTGCCCTTAGCGCCCCACCCCACCCCACCAGCCCTGTACATCTATACGTATACGTATTATTATTATATATTTTTTTTCCTTTTTTGCTTGCAGCTCTTTAACGTGTTTCAAAAGAAAGTTGGTTGACTTTTGAATGACTTTCTTGGCGCGCGCGCTTGGCTCGCAGGCACCCTATTCTGCCTCAAGCATTTGCCCCATCTGTCCCAGCTCTGTTCCCCCCGAACCCCATTTCTCTGCTCGCTGCTCTGGTCTGCTCTACTGCTGCTGCTGCTGCTGCTGCTGATGTTGTTGTTTGTTTTATGTGTTAAGTGCGCTGGGCCCAAGCGCGCAAATTTCTTCTTGTAACTGATGCTGACGTTGACATCGCACCCCCCCAAGCGACCTCCTCCTCAGCAGCATCTTGCCCAGCCCAGCCCAGTCCAGTCCAGTACAGGCCCAACCCACCCATGGACAAGTATGTGTATGCAGAGAAGAGTAGAAAATCTAGTTACAATTAAAGTGACAGGCTGGCAGCACCACCAACACCCAGACATCATAGAAATTGCATTCCCTTTGATCCTTTGCTAGCCAGCGAACTTTGCTCGCAGATAAGAATGGCTACCAGCGGACGACACTTTGGCGTTCTGGAGTGATTAAAAAATGCACAATAGATGGATTGAAGGCATGGCATCCACAGCTGCTACCAAGTTCTATGCTTCCATTCGATTTCGAGGCATAAATAGATTAATTTATGCGTAAATAAAGTGGGTACCTTCCGCATACAAACTGTGCAAGTGAAGCACAAACTGCTCTTAGTTCCACTTAGTTTTGATTGGAGATTGAAGCCATGCCCTGGCAGGGCAGCTAACTCCTTCCAAGTGTGAGCTCTCGAGGCTCTCCGCAGCTTAATAAATTACACAGCAAATACTCGCATTTAGTGCCCCAATCATGCCCAGCCGTATGTTAATGTGTGGCTCAACATAATGCAAATGTGGCATGGAAATTCCCGTCTTCCCTTTCTCGCCCAGATGCATCTTGAGGCCACTGTGCTCTGCTCAGGGCATTCGGCAGTCGCTTAAACACTTCCAGCGAGCGTTTTGCTCTGCACTTGTTTTAATTACTGTTCCGTGTTGATTCCCCTGGACCAAAAAGACCGACATAAAGTGAATTTTAAATTCCCACCCACACCCACACCCCCGCCCACAGCCTTAACCGCACTCCAATCTGGGCACTGGGCACTGGGCACTGGCCACTGGCCACTGGGCACTGGGAAGTCGTCGACTTGGCTTGGTTTCGTTCGGTTTATTTGCTCGCTTGCTCTTTATTCGACTACTGTGTCAGTGGATCTGCTAAGATCCTGCCAGTTACACACCCCCCACTCCCCTTACACCTCGTTGTTTTCCTCGCGGATGCGGAGACGCTGCTGCTGCTGCTGCTGCTGCTGCTGCTGTTGCCTTTGCGGCTGCTGGCGACGTCTGCGCTGCTGCTTCTGCCTCTGCTGCTGCTGCTGCTGGCGACGACGCTGCTGCTGACGGCGGCGCTTCTGCTGCTGCTGCTGCCTCTGCCTGTTGCCGTTACCGTTACCGTTGCCGTTGCCACGGCGCTGGTTGGGGCGACGTCGCCTTTGCTGAACGCCGCGACGCGTGTTCTGGTTGCCATTTCCATTTCCATTGCCGTTGCCGTTGCGTATGCGACGGCGGCGCACCACATCGCCGTTCTGCCCGCGGCGACGCTTCTGCTGCTGCTGCTGGGGACGACGGCGACGACGTCGAGTTGGACCCTGATTCTGCTGACCGCGCGGATGGTTGCTGTCCTGTTCCTGCTGCTGCTCCTTCTGCCCAGCCTCCTGCTGCAGTTCCTGTTGCTGCTTCTCGGGCGCCTGTTCCTCCTCCGCCTCCTCCTGCGCCTGGGGCTTCTCGGTGCTGGCTTCGCTGGGCTGCTCACTGCCGCCGTTGCCGCTGCTCGCCTTGATGGGCTTGATGGGCTTGATCTCGCCGACACGGACATTGGTGACCTGGTCGCAGGGCACGTCACTGTAGATGACCACGTTGCCGTAGTTGCACACGATCTGGTCCTGGCCGTCATCCGCCTGGCGGCCCTCAATGGCACCGATGCCGCGCTTGTCCTCGATCTCGTAGATGTTGCCCGCCTTGGTGATGAATCCCGTCACCTGCAGCGGCTTGGCGTCCGCGGGCATGGCCGTCTCCACCTGCACCGGGACCGGCATCGGCAGCGGGACAGGAGCGAGGTGCTTCTGCTTGCTGGGCGGCGCATTCACAATGATCATGGGCTTGGTGGGCCGGGCCTCCGCCTGGGGGCACTGGTGGGCCTCACCGTGGAGCTCGTCAGCGGCGCCACTGTTTGGCCTTTGTAAGGGGGGCGAAACAAGAAAAAAAACAAGCAAAAAAAAAATGGTCACGTTTATTTCCGATTTGAGGCGTGGTGAAGGATTAAAAAAAAAATTTACCGCTCACCAGCGAGAGGTCGCTGGAAAGGGCGATGGCCCAGACCAGGACCAGGATCGTCCAGAATCCCTTAGTGCACAGCATGTTCTTTCCCACTTGTTCGTTTGCCTCAACTAACTCAACTGAGTCGCGTTCCGTTCCCCAGCTCAAACTTATATCAACTTCTGGCCCCACTAGCGCATAAATCATTCCCTAACGGCATTTCTCCAGCCAATTTTTGGGCTGGTGGTTCTTTTAATTTTCTGCCAGCCAGCCAGCCAGCCAGCCAGCCAGCCAGCCAAAGATCTAGCATAATTAACTATCGGGCGCTCAGAGCGTGTCAAGAAAGCAAAAAAAAAAAAGGGAGAAAAAAAAACGGCGCGGCCAAGGGGCGACCCATTTACCAATAGAGTAGCATCCATCTCCTGCAGCTCCATCGCCCGCCCGCCCCATGGCGGGCAGAGTTCAATGGCTCAGCCACGAACTCCGGACATCTGCGCTCATTAACATTCATATTTCAGCGATGCCGCTGTCTAAATTCTCTTTTCGCTTCATTTTCTCACATGTTGATTATGCAAATTGCTTTCGATCGATAGCTGCCCGAGAGCTCTTCGAATTGACCTTACGACCACGACTACAACTGCCCACCGAAGAAAGAACCACGCACCACAAGATCGAAGCTAGCCAATGCCCCATAATGCCCCAAGAAGAAGTTGAAAGAAATTACAATGTGTGTGAGTTGGTTTTGGTTTTGTTTTTGTTTCTGGCACTCTAATGATTTTCAGGGCAGGCAAATTAAATGAAAACTATTCGAATTGATTTATTTATTGTTACTGCTTTGACCAATAATTGCAACTACAAACATACATACATACACACATACATACGAGTATGTATGTACATATTTATGTGTATAACAAAACTTGTTGGATGCTCAGAAACGGGTTTTCAATTATGGGATTTTTGTTTGATTTTATTTTTACATACGATTTGGTGGAATGGCTGACATAAGTACGAAAGTATTTATAGAAAATGCTAAGCTTGTAAAACAAACTTGTATGACAGTAAATCATGGGCACAGGGACAGATGAAATAAATTTAAAAATATTTATAGCCGGTGTATTAAAGTTCTACATCTGAGGGCTCAAATTTCTCTGATCTACAGCTGCTCGTATTTGAATACAATAAAATAAAATACAGAAAATACAGATAAAGAACCCAACTACACTTACATAAATATGTATGTACATTAGGCTGGGCCAAAATTTCACCAAATTTTTGTTTTGTTTTTTCAAGGGGACACCCCCCAGTTCTGTTCATTGTTATTCAATAAAATTATAGAATTTTTTTGAAATTTTTAGTTTAATGTTTAGGGGTTGCTACCACCAAAAGAAAATACACTTTTTTAGTTAAAAATACATTAAAAAAAATAAATTGAATTCGTCGGTTTTTTTTCAAATAATATTGAAACTTAGAAACTAGCTCATATTGATAATAAGGTATTTTGATTTTTTGTTTAGTTTCTGTTAAAAAATTAACGATTAGTGAAAATCAAGAAGTTTAGCTGACTTAACTTGTGCAGGTTTTTTACTGCCCATAACTGATTAATGACGATATGAATGGTATCAATATATATGCAATAGATTTCACCAATAATCCAACTCATTCAGCAAAAAAATTTTGTTTGAATTTTCTTGATTACATTTTTGTAAAAAATAAAAAAATAAAAGCATGTAAATTACCATTAAATCCAAGTTAATAAAACTAGAAAGTGTCCCGGCCCAGCCTATTGTGCACATATGTATGTATGTAAAATGAATTATCGCACGCACTTCACTTTCAATTTACTATACATAATCAGTGAAGATTTCACCCAGTGAAGGTAGCTTTCAGCTACCAGCTTCATCCACAAATATGTCATTTAACTGCGCTCTCCATAGGCAAACTTTATTTGCATTAATTCAAGTGGAACTTCCAGTGTGCCATTTGCTGCGCTAACTCTGAAATCTTTGCGTTCTTTGCTATTTTAATTATCATATGATCAGTAGGGAGAAGAAAAGGCAATTGTTGATCTGCCAATTATACCGCGAGATCGTCTGATATTTGCACTTTCTACATACAAAAATCGAAATGAAAATGGGGTGTCGTCTTTTACTCGTTTATTTCCAATCAAAAATTTTCACAACACAAACAAAAATATATATAAAAAAAGGTGTCTCTAGGAGTGGAGATGGAGAGCTGGATCCATCTGCAGATTTAGAGACATGGAGATGGAAATTTTTAGTTACTGTGGCGCTGAGTGTAGGAGCGCAGGGCCTCGGCCAGCTCGGTGAGGGATCCCCTCTGGGCCTTCTCCTGCTTGCGCTCCTGCTGCTTCCTGAGCTGCTTGCACAGCTTCTTGAGCTGCTTGCGCTCCTTCTTGGCCGACTTGGATGACTTATCGCCGCTGTCCTCCTCGGAGGAGGAGGAGGATCCGCCACGCTTCTTGCGCCTGCTCAACTCGGCGCACTGCTGCAGCAGCTTAGCGGCCTCCTCATCATCGTCCTTGGGCTTGGGGGTGGTTGCAGTCGTGGTTGTGCTGCTACTGGGGGTGGTACTGGGGGTGGTACTGGGACTGGGCGTTGTGGTGCTAGCCGCTGTAGTTGTAGACTCTGCCTTCTCCTCTTTGGGTTTCGGCGTCGTCGTCGTCGTTGTCGTTGTGGTTGTGCTGGATGTCGTGGTTGTGGAACTCGCCCTATCCTCCTCCGGCTTGGGAGTGGCTGTGGTGCTTGTCGTCGTCGTTGTCGTCTCCGGAGAGCTGTCCTGAGGACGGGCCAGACAGCAGCCGACCAGCAGCAGGCCAAATATCAACGTTGCCGCACGCATTTTCTGATAACTAAACTCGTATTTGCCTCGGCTCAGCCACAACTAAATGGAGATCATGTCTGGGCATTTGCTTATATTGGCGGCACTTAGCGGGTCTCTCGCCCGCAACCCTCCGCCCTGCCGCCCCATCGTTGGGGGGGGGGGGGGCTGGCGCCTCACCTTCGCACCGAGAGCACACGAGTGGCAGCGCCGCAGACTGGTTTTGGCATGCGATTTGAATAGCAACAAATTGTCATTTATTTGATAAACAATTTTTTTATATTTCGGGAATTTTTTCTCAGCTATCATCAGCACCCTACAGCCCAACTGGGCAGGTCCATGGGCGCTGGGTAGAAGTTGTGGCAGCTCAAGCACAAATAGTTTCCGCAGTTTCCATCGTCGCTTTCCATTTTTGGTTCCATTTCCACCATCGAAGCCCACTTTTCCCACTTTCCATGCAGCTCTCTCTCTCTCCCTCTCTCTCGTTTTATTTTCCTGTCTCCTATACCCCATCCCACCCTTGTGCACACACACACACACACACACATGTACAGCGTCCGAAAATAATGTCAATATATCGGATATATTTTTTCGCTCGATGGCAGCTTTTCGTTCTGTTTGTGCTGGCCATTAACGCTTCTGCGAATCGTCTGCCTCCATAAACAAATGGTTTTCGCCTTCTTATGCCGCTCGCCACTTGCCTCTAGCGCTGCTTATCAGCCATCTGTACGCGTATATATATATGTACATACGTCGCTTTGCTATATGCAGCATGACTGACTACTTTGGTACATGTATTTATGTATATTTTGCATGATTATACCCTCGCATACATTTCCTTCTGCGTCGGATATATCAGCGCAAGCCGAAAGTTCACTTACGTGGGTTTATTCTCAATAATATTCTCTTGTGACTTGTGCAAGTTTTCATTTATATCTAGGGAGAGACATTGGCTACAAATTCTTAAAGTATTTCAAAGAGATTTTCTAGAACTATTTAGATACTGAAAAACATCTTAAAGTAGCACCAAGAATTTGCAGGCAAATTCCCAGTAGAACTTAATAGAAAATAAACTTAAATAAAACTCAAATAAAATACATATAAAAATACATATAAAAATCTATCAATGAGAATCTTTGCTCTGTTTTAAGGGTATTGCCATCTGCGGTCTTGAGTCTTTCTTTTCGGCGGCTTCAACTTTCCTTTGTTTTATTTGGATGGATTATGATTTTTTGCATATTTTGGATTTCCTTTTTTTTTTTGTTGTTCTTCGTGTGTGGCATGCGTTTTTGCGGCTCGCTCATAATGTTAATGTCGCTAATTGTTTATCAATTACACTTGTTAATTGTTTAATTCGACTGCAAAGTGACGCTTCGCGACTGGCCTGCATGGGAATAAGGAGGGGGAGGCCGCTGTGACTGGTGTATCATACAAATTGCCACATTTATTCGGAATATGCAGCCAGATGGGTCCACAGCTCCCCAGCCCCCCATCCAGGCCCAATCTCGCAGCTCCCACGATAACTTGCTCTTTTTTTTTGTTTTGTGCTCTGCACATTTGTTGTCTGTTTGCCATTTGTACAAGTAATTGAATAAAAAACGTGCCACAAAAAAAAAAACAAGTAATTAAAAAGCGCAAAAAGACAAAGAACGAAACAAATAAAAATATATGCACGCGCATTCCGGCAGCAGCTGAAGGCAGGCAGCCAGGCAGGCAGGCAGGCCCCAGTGGGTGGTGGGTGGTGGGCTGCAGCACGTAATCCATACGGAACCATTTCAGCGAAGAGAATATGTTAATTGTGTGTGAAAACCGCTGCAGCGAGTCGCCCCACCCCGCCATATTTACTCTTATTTATTACTTATTATAATTATAATTTATTTTTATTTGTATTCCCCCTCGACGGCAGTGCCCAGTAGCTGCCGCAGCCCGTTCCACATTAAATTGGGCGTCCAAAACAATAGAATTTTCCAATCTAGTTTGCATTTACTGAACATACACACTGAACCCCTCTCCAGTCCAGTCCAGTCGAGTCCAGTCCAGTCAGTGACGAGTCTACAGCTTACATGTGAGCAAATATTTGGAAACAAAATTATACAAAAATAAGCATTATTTTTGTGCAGCCAAAAAATCCAACAGTTAAAATTGAATCATGTCGAAGCAGCAGCAGCAGCAGCAGCAGCAGCAGAGCAGTGACGAGAAACCGCCGATGACCGCGACATCTTCGGGCGACGGAGAAACCATTTGTCACGACCTAACCGAGATGGTAATGCAGCTGAAGTCGTCCATCTTGTCGCTACCACTGCCGTCGCCGCAGCAGCCGACGAAGGAGCAGCCACTAATGACGCTGGAGCGGCAAATGCGAGCATTCAGCCAGAAGCCGGAGGCTCCTGTTGCCCCGCCGATGCCCGAATCCAAACCGCTGAAATTGCTCAATATGCGACCGGCTGGCCGCAGCGAGAACCTGCAGCGGCACTGTGCCGCGTTTCCCTCAAACCTCAAGAATGCACCCATGCAGGATTCAGCCACATCTTCGCTGGATCTGACGCTCGGCCACGACGTGCAGGACCCGTAGGGGTCGCCGCAGGGGCTTAACTCTGAGTGACTTTCCCACCCCACCCATTTGGAGCCGCGCACTGCTCTTTATTTCGCATATAAACATCAATAAATAAATGCAAATTCAAGTTAAGTGCTGCAAAAGTTAGCTGCATTTTTTTGGATACTCGTATTTGGGGTATGGCCTCTCCCTGTTTATTCTCTTTCACACCACACCCAAATCTTTGCCCACTGAAAGGTGGGTTACTGTGTAATTAATTGCTTTAAATATGTTGCCTCTTTCAACGCACAATTCCCAAGTCCAAATACCGCTTTGCTGCCATCTAATGCGTATAAATCAGCTCAGCTTTGGATATATGAGCCGCCTTTTATATTCATTCGGGCGGATTTTCATAATGGCTCTTCAATGTCTGGCACTTCATTCTGGGCTGCGTGATTATATTCTGAGTCTGCCCTTTGCGAGTAGTTGCATAATCCCAACTTGTGGAAGCTGCTACGTTCCTGTTAAATGTCCGCCATTTAAATTGGTGGGTGGGTGGTTGGGTGGTTGGGTGGTTTGGGGTGGACTGCTTCTTGTTGAATGTTTACAATGGCCAGAACTACAGTTCCGTGTCGAAACCTCTTTGCTGCCACCCGCTGCCCTATTTCGGCTGCAGATCCCGACCCTGCCCCTGCCCCTGCCCGCGCTCAGCCAAAAATTATCATCATAAGCGCTACGGTAATGAGCGGCGGAAGAACTTTCCAACGGGCGATGATGGCCAAAAGAAAGTTGACACGGCCCCAAACGAACTGAATCCGACTCCGACTCCGACTCCAACTTGGCGCCCCGTCAAGTCAACTTCTTCGAGTGCATTTCCATTTTATCCCTCAGATCTTAGATAACAGCCCACCCATCCCCATCCCCATCCCCATCCCTCTCCCGCTCGTACCTTGGCTCGTGGAATATTTTCGCTGACAAGTGCATTTTCATAAAGATAATAATTCAGGGCTCTCTCTCCGCTATAAGTGCAGCTCGAAGAATTCTCGTAAAATTTGAGTGCTGTGGCTGGGGCTGTGGCTGGGGCTGGCAAACATTGCGCATACGCCGCGTCGCACAGGACCGCTGCTGGGCAGTGCGGTGCGCTGAATGGCCGCCACAGGTACTAAAACCGAAAGGTGGTTGGGTCGTGGGCTAAAAAGCGAGCCGAGCATGTGCTAAATTTAGACGCTGACGAGGCCCGAGTGAGCCGAACGGCGACGAGCCGCAGCCGAAGTGGCTCGGCGGCAGGCGCAGGCGCTGGGAGCGGGGCAGCAACGTCGTCCCGGGCAGCGAGCAGAGCAGCTAACAGAGGCCTAACAGCAGCTTGCCAGAGTGGGAACACTTTTCGTCCGGCCACAGGTCGGAGGGTGAGGTGGAGAGAGAGGAGGAGGCAGTGGTATAGGTAGCGGAGGAGGAGGAGGAGGAGGAGAGACCTGGTCTAACTTTCGTTGTTTTTCTTTCATTCCACCTCATTTTTTTTCGGGGGTTTTTGCGGCATTTTCACTTTGATGCGTGTGGCATGTTTAACGGCACTTGATGATGCAACAACAGCAGCAGCAGCAGCAGCAGCAGCAGCAGTACAGGTGCACCCACTCTGCCGCCATCCCCCCCCTGTCCAAAGGCATCCAACATGGCAAATGCATTTCAATTGCTTCCAATTCTCGTTGCACTTCATTAAACTCAATGTCAACATTCGACAGCAGCCGAAAAAGGACCGTGTGGAGCGTGTGGCGCATGTGGATCGGGACTGGGGAATGGGGGACCTAGAGGCAGGCCTGACCTGCCTTGTCAGTGCTGTGCCACGTGACCTTCACACAGAGACCAGAGACCAGAGGCACTGGCACTGGCAGAGGAAAATAAAAAAGAGGAAACGATGGAGCCAGAGACAGAGCCAGAGACAGAGCCAGAGACAGGTCCATGTACGCACTGCCTGTGGCATGAGAAGTCCGCCAAAGAGAGAGGTACCGCCGCCGGTTCATACCGGGGCCGCATCACGTAGCCAAACGAATGAAGACCACAACAACAGCCACAGCAACAACAGCAAAAGAAAAACACTGCTGGCCCACAAAACTCGGAGGAAACTCAAATTATTTGGTTTATATTCCAGGAAATGCTTTCGCCTGTCTTTCAGCATAGTTTGGGGCACTGAAACGAAAGTGCAGGACAGCCATATGCACGCGGAATCGAACGCCGAGAAGTATGCTTAGAAGGAATGAAACCATAAACCAAAAACCAAACAAAAATCTAAGAGATGTCTGCGGGTAAAACACTTCTGACAACAATTCGCGCGCTTTAAAATAATACAAATTATGCTCGGCATATTCACTCACTTTTACTCACTTTCAGGGACGATTTGCGAGCGAATTTCCACCGAAAATTTCCCCCAAGTGGAACACACAATTTTCGCAATGCTAACGAAGCGTCGCATTGGTAAAATCGTTTTCAGCTTCAGTTTTCGTGTCGTGACGAGCCGCTCTCTGCATTTGTCCATTTTAATCAGCACCGCAGGGGCCGCAGGACAGTTCCCACCCCTCACCCCTGAACTGAACAAAATGAACCGAAACCGAATGAAGAGAAAAGAATGAAAAAAAAAATCTCTGATTAGATAATGTAATTTTGCCAAGAATTTCCCCTTACAGAAGAATTCGTCCAGAGTGTGCAGAGTTCACAGCTTTGCCCCTGTGCATTTCCGTGGGCACTCGGACACTCGTTCGGTCTGTCCATTGGTTTGTCACTTAAATGGGAAAATGGCCAGAGGCAAAGGCCTCAGCCTCACCTGACTGCTCCAGAAGCATTTTCCATGCCAACGCCTGTACCTCTACCTGCAAATGCACCTGCACCTGCACCTGCACCTGTACACTCTTGTGGCCTGCTGGCTCTGGCCATCCACTGCCCGGAAACCCCTTCTTTCTTTCTTCTTCATCTTCCACATACTTTTGAGGCATTTGACAAAACCGATGGATGGCCTGATGAGCTGCTATCTGAGCCACTTAAGCGAGCTAAAGGAGTGGTTAAAGGAGGTGGCTGGGGCGGGACAGGGCAGGGTACAAAGCTCGCTTTGAGTTTAGTTTGAAAAGTAATCGAATGCTATAATTTCCATTTAACTGATTTCCCCACGGGCTGCAAGTGCAAGTCAAACCAAAAAAATGTTGCAATGTTCATCTGCCTGCCACATGGTTCGATATTGTGGGGGGGGGGGCTGGAGGCTGGTGGCTGGAGGCTGGTGCCTTGTGCCTGGTACCTGACTTGTCGCGGCAGCTGCCTCAAAGGCGAGCAGATCAGAGAAGTTTGCGGCAAAAGCCACCAGTTAATGGCCACATGCATAAAAACTTTGCCCCAGACCAAAGGCGAAACGGAAACAGAAAGAGGACAAAGCAGCAGCAGCAGCAGCAGCACAGCCGGATGGGCGTCTGCAGGTGTATGCAGCATATCAAACATTTTATCCATCCATTCCACAGCCATCACACATCTCCAGGGACACCGACCGCAGTCAGAGTCTCAAGCCCGGGCCACGGCTACAGCTACGGCTACGGCTACGGCTACGGCTCCGAATGAAATATAAATTGAATTAAATTAAATACCAACAGTGCAAAGGCAATTGGCCCCGGCCCCGGCCCCTTCCCCGGCCCCACATAAATAAATCAACAGCTCAAAGTGCTCACGAGCATTAAAAGCCCAACTGTCAAGTCGCCCAAATATTGCAGCTTTGTGTGGCATTCTCTTTGACAAGCAGCCACTGCCTCGAAGATCGGCTTCACTTCACGGACTTACACCTTAGAATTATAGTAGCCAAGTATCAGATATCATTTACGAACCGAATTCCATTATTGAATGGGCTTTGGCGAGGGCTGGCAAGTGGCAACGGTGCGCATGAAAAATAATATTCTGATCAATTCAGTTTTTTTTTGTACTCCATGTACAGATCAGGCAATAATTATTACGCCAGTAAAAATGAACTAAGTCCCAAGTATTTACTTGAATAAACTAAAAATATATATCAGTGATTCACACGAACTGAGGCCCAACAACTGAGCGATATTCACTTGCCAAAGGGAGTCAAAAAAATACCAACTTCAGTCCGGAAACCACCTAAAAAAGGCCGAAGCTGCAATCAGTGCCACAGCGTTCTAATGGGCAACTTTCAGTTGGTTTTTCCCACTTGCAAGTGATCGTCGTCGCTGTCGCTATTCGCTGTCATTCGTCTCCAGAGTAAGTTCCATTCCCGAGCATCCGAACAGACATAAACAAATCCGAAACAAAGCAGTAGCGGTTGTAGCGTGAAGGTAGGGAAAGATCCATGCCCGCTAGTCGGCCGCTGAGGATGGGCAAGCGGCGTGCCATGGATTTGAAGATGAGGCGAGTTCTGTGGGTGTTCGTCCTCGTCCTGCTGCTGCTGCTGCTGCTGCTGGCTTAAGCCGCTTTGAGCAGGGGCCACTCCAATGCTGGCTCTAGGCTCTGGACTCTGGACTCTGGCTCATGGGAACGGGCTGTGGGCTGTGGGCTGTGGGCTGTGGGCCAGGGCTGGGGCCAGACTGAGTTTGCCTGGGAACGTGCAGCGGCGACTGTCACCTGCGACTTATGCAAATCAGCGACCAACAACTGAAAAATAATTCTCCACATTTCCGCTACAAATAAAAACCAATTCACTTTGCTAATATGGCCACAGTGAGGACTCATCCGGAATGCCGCAGCAGGCAGCCAATGCTGGTGGACAATCGGGACGCAACTGCGTTTGGTGGCGTGTGGAGGGGGAGGGGGAGGGGCCCAACAAAAGTTTATGCACGCAATGCAATAATTTTGGTGCACAATACACGAATACCCTAACCAAGTGCCACATTCCTAGTCGATGATATGCGAGATGTCGGAAGACGCCCAAAATTGTTGAAAATTATTTACAAGTTCATGCAACCTGATACGTGCCTCGCGATTGATGTTATCAGCTGTTTATTGCTCCCCCCTCGGCAGACTCTTGTGGCGTCTTCATCTATAAACAATATTCGCATAAACAAAGGCAAAACAAATGCTCTCTGCCATTGGACACAGTCTCAGCGACTCATGTGCCAGGGAATTGTCAGAATCTCCAATCGGATATTCAGTTTACATTATTATTATTGGGTTTCAGTTGGGAGAACGCAGCGCTCAGCGCTCAGCGGGGGGAGTAGGGATGTGATTCAAATGTGAGTCCAGCGGCAACATGAAGCAGCATCCAGCAGACGGTAGGCTGTCCCTGTCCCTGTGCCTGTGCCTGTGCCTGTCCCTCTCTCTGTCTCTAATGAGTGTATTTTGCACTTCGACTTGCACTTGGACTGTCTGTTTCCTTGTTTTAATTCCATAAACTGCCGTTTACCACCACCCCCCTCCCGACTATACGAGTGCCACCCCTTTTCAATGTTTCTTTTTCGCATTTGTTGAATGTCAGTCAGTCAGTCAGTCAGTCAGTCAGTCGGTCTGTCAGTTAGTCAGTGTGTCAGTCAAGTTGGACGTTCGCTTCGTTCGGTAGTCGCATTTTCAAGTCGTTAAATGCTTTTGCAGCTCGTCATTGTCGTTGGCATTGTGGCCACCCAACCCACCCTCTCTCTCTCTTTTAGCCATCCTTCCCTCTCTCTCTGTGTGTGGTGTGTGTTAGCCTCTGGGTTTGTTCTGTTTCGTGTCGCTGGCATTGTCAATGCTTTCGACTTCCTTCCGCTTTGGCCAACAAATTTGCGTCGCGCATGCAGGCCAGGCAAACATAATCATCATTATTGCTGCAATCAGCATATTTGGCAGGCTTAAAGCTCCTGTTCCGAGTCAGTCTGCCGCTCTCCGTCTGTCCTGCGGGAAAAACACGGAAGCATTATAAATTTTACCCCCCAGCCCACAGTCCCAGCTGCAGTCCCTGTCCCTGTCCCTCCTCCCACCCTGGCCAGGCCCCACTCTTCGTTTAGTTGTGTGGTTATGCTTAATATCCGTCATTAAAATTTTTGTTTTTTCTTTTTTTTTTTGCCTCTGTTGAAAGAGGAACTGAAACCGTAGCCGTAGCCGAAGCCGAAGCCGAAGCCCTGCAATAGGAGCTGCAGCCAGGACAAGGGCCATGGCGAGTGCGTGGGTCGGTCCGGGTACGGGGGTCTGAGGGTCTGGGGTCTGAACTCCGCTGAACTGAGCCAATACACATGCATTATGCAAATATTATATGGGCCAGTGCATAGCACGATAAGAATCCATTGCGCAGAAATTAATTAGTCAATTTGCATGAAATTTATGTACAAAGCGCGAACAAACGAAACGAAAATGAGTGGGTTAACGGGGAAGAGGAAGACGGAGTGCCAGGCTGTGGTTTCACTGCCACTTTTCACTTGAAAATAGCTGGAGCAAAAAATCGTTTCCACACGTTAAGGGCTGCCATAATATAAAGCTATCTGCAGGACGGAGATAGTATGCTGGCGAAAAGGTTTATGGTGGATGGTGCCCATCCCCGGCCACGTAACTGACAGACGTGGGCGGCTACAAAATATAACTTTACCTCTATAAAAACTACAGTTTTGGTTCGGAAAAGTTACCGATGAAACATTAGCAATATTTTCAGAAATTAAACTGAATAAATCAATCATTAAAACGATCAGCTACAAGTCATTTGAAAGCAGCTGCTTGAAACCTGCTCTTCTGCCGAAACGAGAAATTTACTTAGCTCCCTTTTCAAAATCCGATTTAAATTGAATTAGACCTGAGTACCCTTTTTCCCAGATGTCTGGCAACCGATGTTACCGATGTTTTTTCAAACGGGGCGCAGGGTTGCTCTCCATAATAATTGACGCGAGGCGACGCCATCTTGGTAGTTCTTTTTGTTTTTTTTTAGTTGTCAGTTGCCGAACCGTTGTCGGCTTCCAATAGAAATCTTTTGTTTTGCAAACCAAAGCAAGCCATCCAGCCACTGAAATCTGATAGTTTGGCCGTCAGTAGGCAACACCCAAGCCCCGCACAGTATTTAGTGAAAAAGTGAATCGGGCACTGAAACTATTTGCAATTTTAGGCATTTCCAATTGCTCGCAGGCCAGCCGCTGGTCGAGAACGTTCCGAGAGCCCCGAAAAGAGTAAGTTCCCCTGAAGATATGGTAATTGTTTTATCCATTCATCATCTCTCCAGGTGTAAAGGTGCAAAATGCCGACCCACTGGGCCATAAACTGCGATGGCTGCAACACTGGCAGCATCAGTCGCTACCGCTACAAGTGCCTCAGGTGCGCAGACTACGACTTGTGTCAGGCCTGTTTCGAGGCCAAGGCGGTGACTCTGCAGCACCAGTCGGGGCATCCAATGCAGTGCCTGCTGGACGACGAGGCCAAGATGCTGCACTTTGCCGGGGAGCCAATGCCCGTGCTGAGCGCCGACAGCTTCACTTGCCCCGTCTGCGGCGCCATGGGCCACTCGGACGTCGAACTGGCGAAGCACGTGGACGACGAGCACCGCGACGATCGCAGCCTGGTCATCTGTCCGCTGTGCGTGGCCGTGCCCGGGGCTCATCCGGACCTCTTGCGCAACATCTGGCAGCACCTGCGCAATCGCCATCGTGCCACGCCAAGCATTCTGCGTGACTCTGTGCTGGAAAATGCCGTCCGCCACGAACGGGAGCCGTCTGAGACCGGCACCGAGGAGTCGGACATCGATATTGCCGGCAGCATCTCCTGGCCGCCTCGCTCGCCCCTCATGCCCGGCGCTTCGTCGCCGAACTCCTCGTTCATCTTCTTGGGTGAAATTTACCCAAACGTTGCCGCTTCCGAGGGCGAGGGTCCGCCCGCCCAGCAGGTGCGCTTCAGCATCGATGATAGCAGCGATGAGAATGCCTAAAAGGCAAATCTCTTCCGCTTACCCCACACTTTTTTTTTTATATATTTTTTTTGCACCTACAGAGTTGCACGTACACTACACTACACGATGATTGAGGCCTCAGCATTTATTCCCACATTAATACAAGTGCACTTACACTTAAACGCACACACACACACCAATACATACATGTCTGCACCCACGAAATTTGTTTAACATTTTTCGTTCAATTTTAATGCATCGTTTTGGGACATTTTTGCTGCCACACAGACACACACACACACACATGCACATGCACATACACTTACGAGCAGATACACTGACATGCCTTGCCCCTCCCTTCAGTGCGAGAGCGGCGGCTCCACACAAACAGAGATGTAAACCCATTTTAAACAGCAAAAAACCAAAAAAATGCATATAAAAAAATAGTTCTAAAAAAATAAACAAAAGAACAGAAAATGGAACTTTTGCGGGGCAAGGAATCTGGGATCTAGTTTCTGGATTGTTTATTTAGTGCTGTAATTATAGAACCAAACACAGCTCTCTGCCTCACTTATCCCCCATTATTATAAATCTCACATGTGGAATAAATATCGATACATCCATTAAGTCTTTGGCGAACCACAAGACAAAGACAAAGAGCTTGCAAATAATTATAATTATAAATTATAATTTATATTTATAAATATGAAATATATTTTACATGTAGCATGTATGTATATATATGTATGTATATGCATATGTGGGGGGCAGAAAATCTGGGTGCTCTTCCTGCTGCATTGTGGCACTTGAGCGCAGTGAGTCGCGGCTATGTGTTCTCTCCTTCAATGCCGTGAGCAAACCGAAAACTCCTCTCTAGCAATTTCCCTTTGATCCTGCTCTCTCTCAGAGGCATCGTACACACAACCGCGCCACACTCGGCTGAGACGACTCTCTCCTCTCCTCTCTCTCTGGTTCTCAAACCTCGCTCTCAGCAACAATGTGAATGGAAGGAAATTACGGATAAATTACTGCGTAGTTTCTGTTCTCCTTTATTGACATAGTTTCTTAATTCTATACATTTGTGTTTACATTTTGATCAGTTTTCATACATCTTCATTATACATCTCCGACACATACATATACACTGATAGAAAAAAGGCATAGTAAAAGTAACTACAATCATATTTGAATTTAAAATGCCATTTTTAAATACAAACATAGTAAAAATTAATAGAATTCACTTTGATTCAAATATAAATGTATTAAAATGGCTTTTTTAATACGGTCATAATGAATCTTAATATAAAACACTTTGAAGTAAATATAATATATTCAATTTGTAGTTTAATATGTTTCATATTTAACTTGAATATTATTATGACTTGATTTCAAAATTTTTCTTTTAAAATCCAAAGGAAAAACTTTTTATTTTAAATATTCCATATTAAATGAAATCAAATATTGTTTGTATTTATTTTAACTATGTTTTTATTATTTTTTTATGTCCCTCGAATTCCCAACTGGTTCCAGCTGCTGCCGCCTTGAATGCACAGTAAAATTATCTTAGCGCAGGGGCGTAATCTCAACCAATGCAGTTCTACTCATTTTGCGATTATTTCTAGTTGAAAACTTTAACCAATTCACACCATGAGGACTTGAAATGTAGTCCGCGTAGGCAAAATAAAAACCAATTAGTTAAAAATGAATATAAATATAAATATGAAACATATTAGATTTAAATATTAAACATATTAAATTTAAATATGAAGCATATTAACATTAAATATGAAACATATTAAATTTAAATATGAAATATATTAAATTTAAATATTTCTATATTAATATCATAATTTAAGTGAAAAATATTCAATTTTAATACAACCACTCTTGGATGAAAATCAATGGCATATATATTAAAATCTAAATGAAAATATTAAAATTTCAGGGCTTTTTTCTATCGGTGTATGTGTATATATTTTGCATGCCAACTGAGTGCTGAGGGACAGCTACGCATTTATTTACGGACTGTTTATAGTTTTGCTTCCATTCGAGCGATCTGTCAGTGGCCTGATACTTCAGAGTTCCCATGCTGAAGAGCTCCCCTCCTCCCTCCCCTCCTGCCTGTTGCAATTAAAGATTCATTTTCCATTTCTTTTGGGTGCCTTTCTTACGGCGGAGTTTGCTTTCTGCTTGAGTGGCGCACACCTTCCCTGTGGCCCGCTCAAACTAATTACCTAAGTAGGCACCGCAACTGGGTAAGTTCTCCACGCTTCTCCCCCCCCAACTGTGCCCCGCTGCTCCCGCCCAATCCACTGCCCAGACAAGGTGCCTGTAAGTATGCTCTGTCGCTGGCGCTGGAGTAGGCCCTATTGCTTCTGGTGTAATCGGCTTAGAGGTGGAAACCTTTTGTCATTATAAAAGGATTTCGAGCTTGACAAAATTTCCATTTGTTGCGAATTTCACCCCCCGCTCTGCATACACATGTAGGCGATGGCCGGGGTGGAGGGGGAGCACTGTGTGTGTGTGTGGGGGGGGGCTGTCTGCTCAGTTAGTTAACTTTTAGCTGGCAGCCCCTTTGATTTTGCGTTTGTTCGTTCAAAGAAATTAAGATTCAAAAACCGATATTTTCCCCCCACCCCCCCCGGCTATCACAACTTTCTCCTCTGTCAATCTCTCTCTCTCCGCAAACAGGTCCAATCGTAAGGCCAAACAGGCACCTGGGCACCTTGGCAGCTGGGCACCTGCGGGGCCTCCGCCTCTGCCTCTCAGTGGCAGACAAAACATTTTCAGATAAATTGCCAATCGAACTAGATAAAATGAGCTGTGTAAATAGTGGAAAGGCGCAGATAGGCCACATACCCAGACCCAGACCCAGACCGAGACCCAGAACGAGACCCAGACCCAAAGTTAGACCCAATCGAGGGCCACCACTCCATCGTTCGGTCAAATCCAAACAGGAGCCAGGCAAATGCTTCAGCATCTTCCCCGGGCTCCATTCCACTCGATGGGCTTTGATCTGTGGGCTGCATGCGTGGCTGATGGCTGACAATAGATAGACATCGACACAAACAACGACAACGACAACGACATCGACATGGACATGGACACAGCTGGTATGCTATGCTATGCTATGGTACGAGTATCCCTATCCCATGCAGACTCTGCCCAGTGCGGTGGGTCGTTATTGCTAATGAGTATTTCGAGGCGAGGCGTGGCGAGGCAGGAGCGGCTCGTGCTCACTGCAAGTTCTCTGCAGAACGGAAGAGGTAATGGCTGAAGGCAGGCCAATGCCACGTAGCCCACGTGAGCCCCGTGAGTCACGAGGATAGCTCGGCGGGCAGCTCTCTGAGGCTGCAAAGATCGTTGACTCGGATCGAACTGCACAGTCTGTAGCAGTGCGACGATCTATTCGAGTAGATTCTGGGGTCACCTGCTGCCATGTCCGAGTCTTATGGGCTGGCTCTGTAGGCCTCCTCCCAACCCAATATCGCCTTCCTTCTGTTGCCCATTCAGCCTAGCATTTTGGGTAAAACTTTCCCTGTGTTTCCCTGTGTTCGCTGGAAAAGCTGGAAAAGTAATGGGCAATCACGATCACCTCACCTCACCTCACGCTCGCATCTCAAGTGGCCGCTGGCTTAGGCCGCTCAGCAGCTGGCGCACAGAATGGAGATTCTCGGCTCGGCTGAGCTCCATTCCTGGGCCACTCTATGGGGCTGTCTGGCTGGCTGGCTGGCCCACACGCATACAAATGACAATAAAAGCGAATGACTTTGGTTTTTGGATTTTGCGACTTTGCCATCGAAAATGTTGGCCCACGCGCCATGCCATGCCATGCCATGCCATGCCATGAAAGCTCTCCCGGATTCCCATCCACATACCCCAATACCCCCATACCCATCCCGCCAGCTGGTGCTGCGTTCCCCTCGTGCGATGCCACACAGTTTGCAGCTGAAAGTTGAACCACAATCGACATCGCTGGCCGCCATACGCTTGCACAATTTTTAATCATTGCTTCGGCATTCAGGGCTGGTCCTTCTGGTCCTACTGCCTCGGCCCTCTCCCTGGTCCCCACTCTTGGGGCATTGTTGTGCCTGCAGAGCCAGGACGAGGACGAGGACGAGAACGAAGACGATTACGGGGATGGGGCTGAGGATGGGGATGAGGACACATAAACATGCATGACAGCAGGCGGGTAACGGCTCAGCGGGAATATGGCCGGGCCAGGAGCCCGGACCGAGGAGCAGGACTGGGCTTGGCTAGAGCTCTTTGGGTTTATTGTTCAGGCTTTTGGTCCTTTATCTTGTTTCTAACTCATTGGATCGCAAAAACGGTCTCGTGTTCACCTTAATTGGGGTAAACATAAGTTCTGATTGCCCCAGCAGGGCTGCAACAAAGGCCGAGGTGGATGGCACATGGCAGATGGCCGAGCTGGCCGAGATGGGAGATGGTAAAAAAGAAAGAGTTGCCAGCGACATTTTTCTTACGGTATATCCCAGCCCCCCCCCCCCCCACCCCACCCCTCTGTTATCTGGGAATCCTACATTGGTGTGTGGCTATCCCGGCTCGTTCGCTTAAGGAATTTTCCCCCGTTGTTTGCCGTAAACTCAAGTCAAAAGCCAAAGTCAAAGACGACGTCGAACATATCCAATTAGAAGGCTACAAGACAGCAACAAAGGTTCGTGGGGGGCAAGGGGTTTTCTCTATAGAAAATAAGGGGGGGGGGGTGGAGGGTGCTAGGGGTCGATCCATGGACCCACGATGAGAATGAGAGATCACAGAGGGCAGATAGAAATTGTTGAACGTGTAATTTTTATTTATTGCATACAATTCTCTTAGAACAAATGACAGCGAAAGGATGGCTGTACACCCATCTCTCTCGCTCTCTCTTCTCGCTCTCTGCCCTTTTTTTTTTGTTGTAGTCCCATAATATATTCAACTTTTTGCCTCCTCCGTCAACACCCATCCACAATGAAAATTAAATGTTCAACTTCGGCCACAGAAAGGTTCCAAACATGAAAAAATTGTTGCCAACTTTTAGAATTGAAAAAGCGTTTAGACATTGTTCGCTTTTCCCTCCCTCTCTCGCTCTGGATGGGGGCAGGGGCAGGAGACTTCCAGCGACTAAATGATGGGGAAACTATAAAAATTTCCATAACAATAATAAAGGCAGTGAAAAAGGCAGAGACGGAGACGGAGACGGGGTGAACCGAACACCGAGAACGAAAGACATTTATTCATTTCAGTTTCAGAAATTAGCATAAAAGCAAAAGCTCACATAAGGGATGCTGCTTGCCCACCA